TTCTTTTTTTTCTTTATATTAGGTTGTCCAATAAGTAATGCGTGTTTTGACACGATTAAATTTTCCAATCTCATGGAGATGATTGTCGATTGTTGATTTGGAAGAACCAAATAATTCGGCCAACTCAGGAGTAGTTTGAGTTGGATCAGACTCAATGGTGTTAAGCAAAGCTTCGTTATCAAAAACGACTGGCCTTCCAGCGCGTTCCTCGTCCTCTAACGACTCGTTTCCGTCCGCAAATCGTTTAAACCAGCGCTGGCACTGGCTGATTGAAATTGAATCCTCTCCAAATGCGGCACAGATAGTTCGATGGCAATCCGCTGCAGTTTTACCTCGTTTGAAATCATACAGCATTGATGCGCGGACAACAAACTTTTTGTCTTTCATCTGCAAAACAACATATCTATTATAAAACAAAGGCAAATGAATAAAATAATATATAAAAATAAACACAAGATGCTGATGATTAAAAAGAGTATATATTTGCTCGAAGCGATTTCGCAATAGTTTCGAAATAAGTAACACGCATTACTTATTGGACAACCTAATATTTAGGGTTTAAACTTTCTTTATATTTAGAGCATTCCTTTTTCTAAAATATATCATTAAAATACTATATTTTAAGGTCAAAATTGCAAATTTAAAAACAAAAATCCTGATTTACGTTATTTTACTATATAAAAAGCCGCTCATGTTTGAAACACTTTAACTCTATATCGGACGGAAATCTAAATCGAACACAACATATATATATACCGTAAATACTGTAATAGTACCCCGCCGCCCTCGTACAGTCGCGTAGTCGCAAAAGTTTTTTAGTATTTCATTTTCAGAAAAAAGTTTCGTTAAATAGTATTGTAGCAATATGTTATATGCGTCTATGATTCTCTGATTCGCTTCTATTCGCCCCATGAATGAATATAATTTAAGCTTTGTTTTTGAGTGAGTGGTGGTCTCCTTTTTTTCTATTCATCCCTTTTTCACACCCAAGTGTTGAATTAATTGTGATAGTGCTGGGTTGCTCCAGTTTGAGCGAAGAATTAATCGTGATAGCGCCAGGTTGCTCCAGTTTGAGCGAAGTTTTGCCCTAATAAGGGAAAGTTTTGATAAATTGTGCGCTTTCAAGACAACCACTCTTGAACCACACCGAGACACGGTCTCACAAGAAATTATATATGCCGTAGCCGTTTACGAAATTCAGCCGCTAACGAATCATTCGTTAGGCTAGCTGTTAACGAATCATTGGTAGCGGCTAGCTGTTAACGAATCATTCGTTAATAGCTGAATTTCGTAAACGACTACGACATATGAATGTTTCAAAAAATCAACATTTCACTTCTTCACAATAAAAAACAAAAGCCGTTCCTGATCTAGCAGCAGAACAACCCGTTTCACGGCTTCATAAAACCGTAAAAATGATTGCCAGAAACGAATTCCCTGCATTGAAAAACCCCAGCATGGAAATTTCAGTGTAAAATGCAAATTGATACCAATGTCGCAGTGCGCACTGCGACACGCGCAGTGTAAAATGCAGTGTAAAATGCAAATTGACACACGCGCACATGGCCCGGGTTCGACCCCCGCCAGTGACCACCTATTTTGATTTTTTGCAAAATTTTATTTAAAAGGCACAACTATATGAAATTTCATTAGCTACATGTTTCAGGGTTTTTTAAAATACTCAAAGGGGCGCGTAGTGTGCGCACAAACGGACGGAGATTATTTTTATGTATAGTAGAGAGTTTTCATAAGCAAAAATCCTAAAACTCTCGCAAATTTTTCAACTTTTCACGATTTTTTCGAGAATTTAGCTCAAATTCTCAGTTTTTATGTAATTTCTTTCAAACGAAGCTTATCTGTTGATAGCTTTGTTAAAACTTCTTTCCAAAGACTTTTCGGAAGCTCTAGAAGCTCTAGAAGCTCTAGAAGCTCTAGAAGCTCTAGAAGCTCTAGAAGCTCTAGAAGCATTAGAAGCTTTAGAAGCTCTAGAAGTTAATTCTCATCTAAATATCATCTAAATATCTCTAAATATTCATTTGAACTGAAACCATCTATTTTATTTGAATAAAGAACTAATTAAGAGCCGTTTCTAATCTATTTTTCATAAAAAATCCTCAAAATCCTCAAAATTCCCCAAAAACTATTGCAATGTTTCAAATTTATTAATGTTTGTTTGAAAAAGATACCTTCAATTCCTAGCTTTTGATTTATTTCTTTCAAAATAAGCTTTTCTTTTGATTAAAACTTCCAACATCGAATTTCCGGCTTAATTCAAGTTTTAAGCTTTCAATTCAAGTTTTCAATTCATTCAATTTCAATTCAAGTTTCAAATTCAACTTTTAAGCTTTCAATTCAATTCAAATTCAATTCAAATTCAATTCAAATTCAATTCAAAAACGAAATTTCTATCTTTTAAATTGATTCTCTTAGAAATGAAGTGCTTTCAGCTATCTTTCGTTAGAAAAAATCAAGTTTCAATTTAAGCGGACTCTTCTCAAAAATTCTTTCTTTAATTCTCAAAAACTTGAATTTTTTTGGAATCTGACAATTTTGACTTTTGAATTTTGAATTTTGAATTTTGAATTTTGATATTTAATTTGTCTTTTCTTCTTCTATTAATAAATCTCTTGAATTTCACCATTCGTTTTTCCTTTCACTTTTTCATTAGCTCTCTAATGCGCTCGTCAGCTCGCCGTGTGAATTTCACTCGTTTTTTCGAGGGAGAACCTGAAGAGGTGAATTGTTCAGTCATTTGTAGATTTGATTTTACAAAAGCAAAAACTTTTTGAATGTTTAAACTGTATTTTTTTCAAATTTAAGCTCGATAAAGGAAACTTTACAGAATAAAGGGAAACTTTTAAGAAAATTAGATAGCTTTTGATTTCTTGCAGAAAGCAAAACCATTAATCAACTCGGGAAAGTTTTTAACTTCCAGAACTTGAAACTTTAGTTTGTTTTATACCTTTAGTTAAAAGTTTTATGCCTAAAAAAATCCTGAAAATCGAAAATCTTAAAAAATCGAACATCAATAGCATTACGATTTCATTATACCGTATTTTCTCTAATTTTAGTGCACCCTTAGCGTCGCCTAAATTGCTCGAAATCTCGAGAACCGCTTATCAGAACCTATCGATGTGGGGTCGGAAAATGTAGCTGATGATGAGATCTTGCGGGGGATTTGAGTGTTGAGCTTCTGGGAAAACTTAGAAACTGTAAAATGGTCATCAACTCGGTGCACTACTATTAGGGGAAATACGGTAAATCTTTATCGTTTACCTTTTTTCATTTTTTAAACGATTCTTTCTCATAAAAACAACTCCATAAAATAAACAATAAAATTACTACGGTTTTGAACTTATAGACGGCTTTTAACGGCTTACGACTAATAGACGGTTTTTAAAGGCTTTTAACGACTAATAGACGGCTTTTAACGGCTTTTAACGACTAATAAACGGCTTTTAACGGCTTTTAATGACTAATAAACGACTTTTAAAGGCTTTTAATGACTAATAGACGGCTTTTAACGGCTTACGACCAATAGACGGCTTTTAATCTAGCACATTTTCGACAATTTGTACAGTTTTCTTGCGCTGAATCTTTGTGTAAATCCTTTGGGATAATGATTCTAGATTTTCGAGATATTTAGCTTCAAAGTTTATAAAAAATCTCAACGAATTTCAAAATCTCCACGAATTTCGAGCAGCGTCATATGGACTTTACAGAGAGCTCAATAGATTAGCTCGTGGCCTAGTGAATGTGTGCTAGCTCTTAAATTCGGATCGCAACCGGTCAGGCTCAGGTTTGGATCAGCCATTGGTCCAACTTTTTTGGCTTTTGTCGAACAAAAGATCAATAAATTTCCATTTTTTTAATAAATTTTTTCCTTAAAAAAATAGAATCACATCAAGTCGTAAAAAGACGAAAATATTGGTAAAATCGGAGAAATTTAAACACAAATTTTATGGTTTCATGAAAACAACAAAGCCTAGAGAAGCGGAAAAGTGAAAAGATAAGATAAAGTTAAGATAAAGTCAAGATAAAGTAAAGAAAAGATTTTTCGAAAGAGTTAGAGAAAATAGAGAAAAATTGAAAGCTCTTGTTTCTCTTTTGGGGAGTGTTAAGCCTGGGAGGAGGGGTTTGTTTTTTTTTCTCAATTCTCCTCTCCGAAATCCCACCCTCAAAGTCCCCAAAAAGATCTCTTCCTAACCAGACTATTCCCGTTTTTTTGTTGTAAATCGCCAATCAAATCGATTCAAATCCATTCAAAACCATTCAAAACCATTCAAATCCATTCAAATCCAATAAAATCCATTCAAAACCATTCAAAACCATTCAAAACCATTCAAATCCATTCAAATTCAATAAAATCCATTCAAAACCATTCAAAACCATTCAAATCCATTCAAATCTAATCAAATCCATTCAAAACCATTCAAATCCATTCAAATTCAATAAAATCCATTCAAATCCATTCAAATCCAATAAAATCCATTCAAATCCAATAAAATCCATTCAAAACCATTCAAATCCATTCAAATCTAATCAAATCCATTCAAAACCATTCAAAACCATTCAAATCCATTCAAATCCAATAAAATCCATTCAAATCCAATAAAATCCATTCAAAACCAAATCCCTTTCATCAAAACATTTCCAATTTCTTTTATTCAATCATTCTTGGCTATTTCTTCTTAAAATCTTTAGCTTATTGCCAATTTTAATCAAAGAAACAATTTCGCCACTGTTCGACTTCAAAATCTCAGTTTAAACTCAAATTTGAAACATCATTTTTTCAAATCAAAATTTGAAACATCCCCAAATTTGAAACATCATTTTTCCCATTTTGAATATTTCTTTTAAAAATCACTTATAGCTACCTTACAACTCTAGATTTCTTCAACTAATCAACTAATTCAATTGGCTTCAACAGCTAAAGCTTTTAAAAGGCTAAATCTAAAGCTATTCCATTCCATTTCCATTGATTTTATTACTTTTTCAATATGGGTAACGCGGTCGCATATCGACACTCGGTTGCTGTGAGTTCTAAAAGAGAAATTTATCTAAATTTATCAAAAACTTTGTTTATTTCATTGATAATTGCGATATTTAGATGAAAATTGAGTATTAAATTGGAAATTGAGCATTCTTTAACTTTTTAAGCATTAAAAGTAAATGCTTTAAGTAGATTCTTTAAAAAAATCGAGGAATATAAGAGAAATCTTTGTGCTGAACGATTCTTTGTTCAGCAATTGAGCGTTTGGAATAAGAAAAAGAAAGGAATTCTTCTAGAAATGAGTTAAATCTCTTAAAATAAAGAATACAAAGTCTCTTTTTTCAAACTAATCCCTTTTTAAAGACATTTCAGAAGCAACAAACGAGAAAGAAATTGGAGAATTGTCGAAAACAACGGGAAAGGACTGGAGGCATCGCATTCAATAATAATATTCATGGAGATGATGGAAGAAAACGCGAAATAAGTGGTTTGTTGTTTTTAAGTTCAAATCTTCGAGATTATAGACTCAAAATTTTTGATCTTAAATCTTAGACAGACACCGCCGCTTGGATTTAATAGATGATAGATTGATAGGTAGATGCTCACGGCTTGAATATATGATAGATTTAATAGAATGTTTCAATGGAACGTTTCAATAGAACATTCTATTTCATTTAATAGAATGTTTCAATAGAACATTCTATTTAATAGAATGTTTCAAAATTGTAAAGACCAGGAAATCTATCCCCTCTTTTTCGAGATTTATTCAAAGTTAGTCCCACGGTTAGTTCAAGGAGTTCAAGGTTAGTTCTTTCGTTAGAAATTCTTAGTTTCAGAAATTCCAGTCACCTCCAATAAGTTTTTGTATAGCTCTTTTCCAATAAGAACTGCCAGAATTTGGAATCATCTTCCCAGAGTTTTGAGAGAGTCCAATAGTCTTGAAACCTTTAAATTATCTGTAGATGATCTTGATCTTGAAGCTCTAGTGGATCCTTGACGTATCCTAGCCACAAGGTACGCACAAAGTATAGTAGGTAGTAGGCTACTAGGTACTGATCTTGATCTTCAAGCTCTAGTGGAGCCTTGACGTTATCTGTGCTACCCATATCTGTAGATGATCTTGAGCTATTACATACATTATAGCTTTTTATCGGTTTTTCGTGTTATGTGTATGAATTGATGTGTTTTAATCTTAAATCTAGCGCACTTTATCTCAGATCCTGAATCAAGTATCTATATATAGTGGTTTGAAATTTAAGTTTTCAGATTTATCAAATAAAAAGATCAAGATCGAATTATCAATACCTTGTTAACCTTGCTTGGCAATATTGGCAATACTAGGTACTGATCTTGATCTTGAAGCTCTAGTGGAGCCTTGACGTCTATGATTATCTGATTAGCTTCTATTCGCCCCCCGAATAAAGTATATATATGTTGTGTCCGATTTAGATTTCCGTCCGATTTAGATTGAACTTATCGCGGACGTCCGATTTAGATTACAGTCTATATCGGACGTCCGATACAGATCGAACAATAATAAACGTGCTTAATATATGTTCTTAAGCGTTTTTTTGCAATTTTCTGCGCTTTTCAAAGAAATTTTCAAAGAACATATGTTAAGCACGTTTATTATTGTTCGATCTGTATCGGACGTCCGATATAGACTGTAATCAATAAAAGACCTTTGAAAAATGCAGAAAACTACAGAAAACGCTTAAGAACATATATTAAGCATGTTTATATTATTGTTCAATCCATGTAAGATTTAGATTGAATCTAAATCGGACGTCCGATATAGACTGTAATCTAAATCGGACGTCCGCGATAAGTTCAATCTAAATCGGACGTCCGATTTAGATTCAATCTAAATCGGACGGAAATCTAAATCGGACACAACATATATATGTCGTAGCCGTTTACGAAATTCAGCCGCTAACGATTTGCGATTTGAGCTAAGCTAGATAGGCTGATTTGTGTCTTGCATAAATAGTTTGAAATCAAAAACCCATTTGAATCGAGCCATGTTCGCAGAAGCCGATTGCAAATTGTGCACGGCTAGCGAAAAAATTGCATTCATTATCGGCTAACGAATGATTCGTAAACGGCTAGCCGCCAACGAGCCATTCGTTAACGGCTGAATTTCGTAAACAGCCACGACATATATAAGCCTTTCGAATTGAATGGCTTTTTTGCTTAAAACATTTACTTTATAGCTAAAGCTATAGCTTTATAGCTCTTTATTCGCCTTTTCACCAAAAATAACTTACTTGTTCACTAAGAAAAAGCCAAGAAATCATTATAAACTATCAAAAACTATCAAAAACTATCAAAACTATCAAAATTTGAATCGAAAGCCCTTCAAAATCTCAAAATTTAACTTAAAAATGTATTAAATAGTATTAATTTCTCTTTTTTATTTTGTCTTTTCAAATCCTCATCACTTTTTCTCTTCTTTCACTTTTTCATGATGACTTTTTGTCCTCAATTTGCTCGCAACAACTGACTCTCTTCCTATTTACTTATTTTTGTGAAAAATTGCTTTAAAATCTCGTTTATCTTTGAGGAATTTGATCGTTAATCATTGAGATTTGAAAGAATTTCAAATTTAACTGAAGAAAAATTTTTAAGTTTCAAAGAAAACAGCTTAAAGTTAGGATTATGGAGTGCAGTTCCTTCTATTCAAAAGTTGAAAAAAACAATTCATTTGTACACATTTCTACACCGTTTTCAGCGCACTCAATTTCTGATTTATTGTAGAAGAAATTGATGCGCTAGAGCCAGAATATTCTTCAAGTACACTTACCACGCTTTTGAACTGATAGACGGATTTTAAAGGCTTTTAATGACTAGTAGACGGTTTTTAAAGGCTTTTAATGGCTAATAGACAGCTTTTAAAGGCTTTTAATAACTAATAGATGGCTTTTAACGGCTTTCAACGGCTTTTAACGGCTTTAACGGCTTTTAACGGCTTTTAATGATTAATAGACGGCTTTTAACGGTTTTTAACGGCTTTTAACGACTAATAGACGGCTTTTAAAGGCTTTTAATGACTAATAGATGGCTTTTAATCTAGCACATTTTCTACAGTTTGTACAGTTTTAATATAGTTATAACAATTAAAATAAAAAGAAAAATCAAAATTGAATGGCAGTACCGGGAGTCGAACCTGGATCATTTGAGCCGTAGACAAACGCGCTTCTCGCTGCCCGATGATGACAAAAAGCGGTTAGTCTTTCTGGACATTCTATAAATAGTAACGAGACAATCTTGTTTTTCAACTTTCCGCTAAAACTCTTTGAAAGCTTTCTCTCACGCCTTCTTTCGGAAATTCGAACTTTCACTAAAGAAAAAGAAAGACGAACGAAAAAGAAAGTCGAATCTCCAAAACAATCCAATTTTTCACCCCCGAAGCGCTTTTGAAATGAAAATAGAAGGAAGAAATCAATTGAATTGAAAAATATAATATATTAGAATTTAAAATCAATTAAAAATTGATTTAAAGTAAAAAAAAATCAGGATCTTCTTAAACTCCTCCATCTTTTTTGAACTTTAACAAATTTGAAACTTAAGCTTTTTTTCTTTCAAAACTTTTGCTAAATCTTATCCAATTCATTTTAATCTTTTTCTAAACTAAAATACAACTAGTTTTTTGAATATAAATAACTTTTAGTATTGTAGAAAAAGTGTAGCTTTAGATCTAGAAGTTAAAAATTCGACGTTAAAAGTTTGACGAACTAACACTGCTGTCCTTTCTTGGGCCTTGACAAACTTGAAACTAAGCTCCTTTTCTCTCTATTAACTTCTCAAAACTTCTCTTCTTCGCTTTCCTGAACTCAAATTTCATAAAATTATATAAAATTTCGTAAATCTACTAAAGCTTTTTGTTTAAAAGAACGGAAAACGATCAGAAATCATCGAAATCTTCTCCTTTTTCTCAATTCCCAAGAGATTTCCCATTGTTAAGCCGTTTTTATTGTCGAAAAAGTTAGATTCTCTAAAAAAGTAAAAAAAGAGAATCAAAATCAAATTCAAATCCAAATCCAAATTTTCCTTTTCAATACCGTAACTTGTTCGCTTTTTTGCCTATTCTAAATTGAGACTCGGGAAATGAAATTGAGCCGTCAATTCAATGGGAAAAAAAGCCTGATTGAGCTGCTTGAAGAAGAAGAAAAGGTCGAAATTTGAAAGATTTTGAAAAGATTTGAACAAGGCTCTTTAAATCATCTTTAAACCATCTTTAAAACATTTTAAAAGCCTCTTTAAATCATTTAAAATCATTTTTAAATAAAAATGAACTTGGAAATTGGCTGAAATTGATCGAAATTGAGATTAAACAACGATTAAACTCGAGTTTTAAAGTCAATGTTTCAAGATAAGCAGCAAAAAAAGCTCTGGATCAGACCAGATCCGGAAAATATCAGATCAGATCAGATCCGGACGGGAAAATGCATGGAAATTGATTGAAATTAGCTGAAATTAGGTGAAATTGATTGGAAATTGATGGAAATTGATGGAAATTGATTGATTTGATTGAAATTGATGGAAATTAGCTAAAATTCATGGAAATTAGCTGAAATTCATGGAAATTAGCTGAAATTGATCGAAATTGAGTTTAAACAACGATTAAACTCGAGTTTTAAAGTCAATGTTTCAAGATAAATCTAAAGAACCTCTAGAATGGGGGTTTAATTATCGTGTAGCATCAAAGTAAAAACAAATCAACTAATCAAATAGAATAGGGTGTTTTAATAGCAAATATTTAATAGGAAAAATAGCAGAAACTAGACTTCGGCAAACAAAACCAAAACCAAAACAGACCAAAACCAAAACCAAACACCAAAACAAACCAAAGCTCAATTTGCATATAAATTAAAATGTAAATTTAAAATTGTAAAATGCAAATTTTAATGTAAAATGCAAATTAGCCTTTCACTTTTTCTCACTCCACAAAATCTCGCGGCCGAAAAAAGGACCAAAACACGACCTCGAAATTTCGAAACAAAAAATAGCCTATGGGATAGATTTTTGGATGCTGATTTCAAATCTGCAAACAGATTTTCGCTAGCTCCTCCCAGTCGCGAGATATTGGCGAGTTTTGGTTAGTTTTGGTTAGTTTTCGTTTTCGTTTGTTTTGGTTTTGGTTTCGTTATGGTTTTGGTTTTGGTAGTTTTGGTTTTGGTTAAGTTTTGTTTTCCAAAGTCTAGCAGAAACTTTAGAAAGCCATGCAGGAACGTCAGCCGATTCATATGTGCGGATATCGATCGGTGGGAAATCGTATTGTGTGAGGTGAGGTGAAATCGAAACAATAAAACGTTAAGAAGTATAGTAGCGCTTATAGTAGAGCTTATAGAGCTTATAGTAGAGCTCAAAAACATTTATGCATCATTTTTTAGGGTTTAGGAACCATGTAAAGCTCAAGTAATCATTTTCAAACTTTGTAGATAAGTTAAACTAGTGTAATGTTCAAAAAAAAGAAGGTTCTCAACTCACTGGCAAGCATTTTCCGAGAAAACATTAAAATGCACTAAATACGGTAATTCCAGTCGCGCACTAAATACGGCCTTTTTAAGTAATCGGCCTTTTTACGCAAAAATCGGGGTAGGCTAGTTTGCGCCAATTTTTTTGCGCAGCTGGGTCATTTGCGCAGCTGGGTCATTTGCGAAACTCGCCATAACTTTGTCCTAAGTGGACCAATCTTTATGATTTTGGTTTCATTTTGTTGCACTTATTGAGATCTACTAGTTTTAAAAGAAAGTTTCGGTTCACAAAGCCAAGAAAGTTCAAGATTTTTGCAAGTGAAGTTTCCCTATTTTGGGGGTGGCTACTTTGCGCCAAATTTTTTGCGCAACTGGATCATTTGTGCAACTCCATAACTTTCTTCTAAGTTAGTCAATCTTTATCTTTTTGGTTTCATTTTGTAGATCTCAAAAAGTGCAACAAAATGAGACTAAACTAAACTGGGTCATTTGCGCAACTGGGTCGTTAGGGTTAAGCGCAACTGGATTGTTTGGGTTAAGCGCAACTGGGTCATTTGCGCAGCTGGGTCATTTGCTCATCTGGGTCATTTGCTCATCTGGGTCATTTGCTCAGCTGAGTCATTTGCGAAACTCGCCATAACTTTGTCCTAAGTCAGCCAATCTTTATCATTTTGGGTTCATTTTGTTGCACTTATTGAAATCTACTAGTTTTACAAGAAACTATTATTCAATAGCGCTCAAAATGCCTCCTTTTTTTGTTATTCAAACATTAGATAAACTTTTTACATCACTTTTTACATCAGATTTACATTTTTACATAATTTTTAAATAAAGAAACTATAAAACTCTGAATTCCCATTTAAAAAAAAGCTTTATTTAAACATTTATATCATTTAGAATATTTTAGAACCGAACTTTTCACTCCAGATGAGACGCGAATGCATCGTTTTGTCGGCAGTTCGCACGAAGATCGATTAAAGGTTTCAATTCTTTAAGAAATTCAGAAAATTCAGAAACATTTCTTCAATCTAACTCTAAATTGAAACGAAATAAACCTTTTAATTCAATCTTTCAATCCAATCTTTCATTTCTTTTGCTTTAAAATTTAAATCTTACATGATTTTTAATGCTAATTAAAAAGAAAGAGACAAAGAATTAAAAAAGCTCATTTATTCTTTTAAAAAATTTGTAACCAGAGGCATACTGGGATCGAGAATCTGAATTCGTTATTATTTTTTGTGAAACTTTAACTACCGTATTTCCTCTAATAAACGCCCCCCCCCCTGACCAACTTTGGACGCTTCGTTCTCAGCCCCATTTGGAGATATTTTTATGTTTAATATATCAAAAGATAGAAGACATTAAGGGCTATCTTTTGATATATTAAACATAAAGATGTCTCAAAATGGGGCTGAGAACGAAGCGTCCAAAGTTGGTCAGGGGGGTTTATTAGAGGAAATACGGTAACTAGCTTTTCAGCATCTCTTAAAGAGCACTTTGTAAATAAATAATAGAACTGCTGTTAAATTTGAGAAAATACATGCAAAAGAAAAGAACGCAAGTGGTAAAATGCAATTGGACGAAACTTTTATATACTTTTCGTCCAAATATTCGCGTTTTAAGGTGATGTGGAAAGCAAAAATTACGTTTTTCTTCATTTCTCGATTGGAAACCTTGTTTTTCATATAGGAATAGTTGTAGAGAAGACTAAAACGCATCGAATAATAGATAAATGAAAGGTGAAAAGGCAAGGCAACTTTAGCAAAACTTTTTGATAAAACAAACCATTTGGTTCCTTTTCTCTAAAGGTTTAGTTCCTTTTCTCTACAGATTTGATTCCCGTTCTCTAGGGATTTGGTTCCTTTTCTCTACAGGTTTAGTTCCTTTTCTCTACAGATTTGTTTCCCTTTCTCCAAGGATTTGGTTCCTTTTCTCTAAAGATTTGATTCCCGTTCTCTAGGGCTTTGGTTCCTTTTCTCTACAGGTTTGTTTCCTTTTCTCTACAGATTTGTTTCCTTTTCCCCAAAGATTTGTTTCCTTTTCTCTACAGATTTAGTTCCTTTTGTCCCCAAACTTTTTGATAAAACAATCAATTGGTTTGTTATTCATTTCATAAAAATAATCTTTAAAAAAGAAAGGACAAGACTTTCTGGCCAATCTGATAAGCTGTAGACCTAAAAATTTGTAACCAGAGGCATTCTGAGATCGAGAATCTGAATCCATTGTTATTTTTTGAGCGAATTTAATTCCCTAACTAATACATTCATCACAAAACATTAAATCTCGGTAATTAAAGTAAATTAGAGAAAAAGGCAAGACGGAGCTTTAGGTTTTGTCTCTAGAAGCAGTGAAATATCGAAAAATAGAATTGTTTTCTTTAAGAGTTAATAACGAATTCGAATTCGGCATCCTCGAAAACCCTTGATTCCTTTTGATTCCTTTAAAACAAACCATTTGGTTCCTTTTCGATACAGATTGTAGATGTCTACAGATTGTAGATGTCTACAGATTGTAGATGTCTACAGATTGTAGATGTCTACAGATTGTAGATGTCTACAGATTTTAGATGTCTACAGATTGTAGATCCTTTTGTTTCCAAACTTTTTGATAAAACAATCAATTGTTTTATTATTCATTTCTTAAAAGTTAGAGAAGCAAAACTTAGAAACTATAAAATAGGCATCAACTCGGCTCGGCCGGGGAAAAAACGGTAGTTAACGTTTTTTATTTAAAGAAAAGCACACATTGATTGACTAATTATTCATTTATAATGAATTAAAATGATTATAAAGACGGAAAAGTCTGGATAAACAGCTGATAAACAGTAGATAGCTGTCGGTAGCCAAGAGAAAAATGACTTTTGCTTTATTGGGTAAGGTAAAAGTTAAACTTTTGCTTTTTTAAAAGTAAATCATTTTCAGATGTGCGACGGCTTTGATCAAACAACAACTGAATATTATTTCGAGCGGAACTCGAAGCTGGCTGATCATTTGATCGATTATTATTCGACGGGTTTGTATTGTGAGCCGATCAAGAGCCTAAATAAGTCTTACTTTGAAACCTGAAAATTTCCCCTTTAAACCCTTGATTCAATCCATTCTCAAAAGGTTCTAAACATCGAAAACTTTAAAAATCCTTTCATTCAAAACCAAAATCGATCTCTAGCTTCTGAAAAGAACAAATTTAACAGTCATTTATTTTTAGGAAGTCTCCATCGACCAACGAATGTTTGTGCCGAGCGTTTCCGTGAAGAGCTTGAGTTTTGGGAGATCAGTCTAGATCACGTAATTTTATTTAAATATTAACAAAGGAAGATCAACTGATAGAGCAGCCTTGATCAACTGATTGAGCCTGATCAACTGATTGAGCCTGATCAACTGATTGAGCCTGATCAACTGATTGAGCCTGATCAACTGATTGAGCCTGATCAACTGATTGAGTCGCCTTGATCAACTGATTGAGCCTGATCAACTGATTGAGCCTGATCAACTGATTGAGTCGCCTTGATCAACTGATTGAGCCTGATCAACTGATTGAGCCTGATCAACTGATTGAGTCGCCTTGATCAACTGATTGAGCCTGATCAACTGTTTGAGCCTGATCATTCAAAGAATTTTATGCTAATTCCGAATAGATATTCCGTTTTTGGCTAAAAGACAATCCGCTAAGAGTAGAATTGAAATTTTGATGTTTCAAAATAAAGTCAAAATAAAGTCTAAATCAATAAATCAATCACAAATGAATTGCCAATGTTTCCCTCTCAAATTGTCGCCTTCAGCTCTCATCTTGTTGCACAATATTAGCCGGAGACGAAGCAACAGCGGCGACGAAAAAGACGAAAGGATTCCCGCAAGTTGCTGATGATTTTGAGCCGATTTTTGACGGGGTATGGTAATTGAATCAATGCTTATCAAAATGCTTATCAAAATAAACTCTTCCACATTTCCCCAACCAGATTTCAAAAAATCTCTTTTATCATTTGTTTCTACTCAAAAATTATGCGATAATCAGCTTTTTAATCAAAAAAATTCTAGCTTTAAAAGATTAGATTAGATTAGATGTAAAAGATTCTAGCTGTTTTTCTCTATTCAAGCTTAAATCATGATTTTCATCAGCGTTTTCAGCAAAAAAAAACAAAATTATAATAAAATAAAAGAAACGAAAACAAAAACAAAAGAAAACAAAAGAAAACAAAAGAAAACCTAAAATTTAAAGGACGGATTCCGAGGTCCGGATTTCGATTCCGGATCCGATTTGATCACCGGGATTCGGGCGTAAAATAATCATAAGCTAAAATAGCAAATATCAAATAAAAAATAATCAAAATAGATTAAGAATAATATTCAATATATTGGGTTGGGGAGAATGAGTCGGCGCCAAACTTTAAAGAGACTTTTTGCACGCATAAAGCCTTCTTTAAACATACGTTTGGTTTCATCAAGAGGATCCACTATTTCTCTACAAAATCACTTTTGAGAGATTCCACAAAGCTTTTCTTTCGTGGAGTTTATGAACTTCCAAACGCAGCTGGTTAAAATGGCAAAGAGTCCGACTCATCATTTGAACAGTTTCTTTCACATAAACCTTCTTTGGTGTTTATATAAAAAAGATAGAGCACATTCAATTACTTAAGTTGCCAAATTTGCAGGAAGATCCCACCAATGGTTTTTTCTAGATCACAGTTTGTAGTTTTTGTGAGAAAATGGCTTTTTCTTGAGCGGAGGCGCTGTTTGAATTTTCTTTTAAATGTGATTTTGTAGAGAATTAGTTAACCATTCTACTCATATCAAATGCATATTATTTGACGAAGTCGAATAGAAGTTTTAGACATTTTTTTGATTTTCGGCGCCGACTCATTCTCCCCAACCCAATAGATATAGAATAATATTCAATATAGATATAGAATAATATTCAAAATCCCAGGTCTGTTTGGGATCATTCCGGCTGACGCTTTGGCGTTTCCTCGAGGATCCCCAATCCTCAATCCCGGCCGCCGTTTTCGCTCTTTTTTCAGTGATGTTCGTCTTTGCGAGTGTTTTTGGTTAGTTTTTTTCATAAAGATTGAAAATAAATACGAAAAACGACAGTAATATTGACGTTTTTAAGGGAAATTAACAGATAAACCGTTTCAAGGATCTCATTACATTTCCCGTTCAGCAATCAAAGTCCCTAATGTTGAAACTAGCTTTTTTTGCTTTGCTCGCTAATTTTTACAAAATCGAAACAAATTCAAAGCAAATGCAAAGCAAAATCATTAGAAAATGTTTACAAATCATTTTTCAGGCTTAATCCTCGGCTCGATGCCCGAATTCCAAGAGGATAGCTCAATGGCTGAAGCCTATCACAATATGCACAATAGGAAAGTGCATCCAAGTGATGTGAGTAAAAAGAATTGAAGTGAACTTCAAGAGACTTGAATTTCTGTTTGGTTATAATGAAAAGCTATGATTTTTGAAATCTCGACAATTGCTCTCATTCTTTGCTTTCGTCGAGTCGGGAAACGACGCAACAGAGCGTTGTTGGCCGCGGCCGAGAGTTGCGCTGGAAATTCGAAATTTTTACATATAAGTAGTTCAACTTTGACTCGAATTTTCTCTATGTTCTTACACATGAGTATACAAAACAAATTTCACTTTTCTATAGCCAAATTTAATGAAGATTCTATTGAAACCAACCCTAAGTGGATTCAACTTCAATACCTTGAGTTCTAGACCATCTGAGTTGATCAACCTTTCCAGGTAGGCAGTTCAACTTTGACTCAAATTTTCTCCATGTTCTTATCAGTGAGTATACGAAACAAATTCTACTTTTCTATAACCAAATTTAATGAAGATTCTATTGAAACTGGCCCTAAGTGGATTCAATTTCTATACCTCGAGTTATCAAGTGTTGAACTTGAGTGACTTCTTTATATAAGTAGTTCAACTTTGACACAAATTTTCTCTATGTTCTTACACATGAGTATACAAATTAAATGGGACTTTTCTATAGCCAAATTTTATAAGGATCATTTTAAAATCAACCTTAAATTGATCTGATCACTGGGAGTCGAGATATAGAGGAAAATAGAAAAGTTCGCTAGAGTACCATTAAAAACGCTCCACTTGATAGTAGGCAAGTGATAGACAAGAGTAGAATTTATAAAGATACTTTCATCATTTAAAATTTCGAGTCTAATCTCATTAACACATTCACGACGTCTGCGTCTGCGCCTCACTAATGGCAAATATTTTTGATGTCAGCTGTCAAATTTTTAAAGACTTTTGTTATTTATTTTGTAGAAAGTTCTCGAAAACTTTGTACTAGTTTTTAAGAGGAGATTCAGGGCTTTCGAATGACTATAATAGCTTAGTTCATCCTTGAATTTTCACCAAATTATCAGTAAAAACAGTTGACGACTACGCGACTGTACACTCAAAATACCGTCGTCGCGAATGTGTTAAAGGAAGGGTGTAAAGCTAAAGGAAGCTGTTCCATAAGGCTAAAAGGAAGCTGTTCCATAAGGCTAAAGGAAGCTGTTCTATAAAGCTAAAAGATGGTGTTCTATAAAGCTAAAGGAAGCTGTTCTATAAAGCTAGAAGAAGCTGTCCCATAAAGCTAGAAGAAGCTGTCCCATAAAGCTAGAAGAAGCTGTCCCATAAAGCTAGAAGAAGCTGTCCCATAAAGCTAGAAGAAGCTGTCCCATAAAGCTAGAAGAAGCTGTCCCATAAAGCTAGAAGAAGCTGTCCCATAAAGCTAGAAGAAGCTGTCCCATAAAGCTAAAGGAAGCTGTTCTATAAAGCTAAAAGAAGCTGTCCTATAAAGCTAAAGGAAGCTGTTCTACAAAGCTAAAGGAAGCTGTCCAATAAAGCTAAAGGAAGCTATCCCATAAAGCTAAAGGAAGCTGTTCCATAATAACGACGGCCATTCATTTCACTTTGAATACTTTGAAACAAACTAATTTCTTCTCCAGGTCGGAAGTCATAAATTCTCCTCCTCTCAAACGCTCGATCAAAATCCGGTTTTCCCGAATTTTGTCTACAAACCCACCGACAATCCAGCGATTTATTTGGTGATTTTGGAGTACGTGTGCATCGGATGGTTCACTTTTGAGTACACTGTCAGGTTTGCTTTGCACATTTCTAAATTTTTGCCTTCATTTTCAATCAATCTTAAGCATTGTGAGCTTTTAGCAATCGAATTTCACTGTCTTGAGAAGTCTTGAGTAGTTTTTTTAAAATACAATTGTTTACGCGAATAATTTGGTACAAACAATTCACAAGCACAATCCCTAAACCCTAAATGTAGAGAAAAAAAGCTAAAATTAAGCTGAAAATCTAAAATAAGGCTGGCGGCGGGATTGAACCCCTGACCCCCCGTTTGATAGACAGGGCTCTTAGCCACTCGGCCACTTGGCATCCTAAGCGAACATTCAGTTTTGGCTTAAATTAAAATCCTGACGAGAAAAATGCATTTAAAGTTTTGACCATTTTCGCATCCTAGCCAATAAGAGCACGCCACACGCAAAGGCATGAACCGACGCGGTGGTCTAGAGGATAGCGCTAGGGATTACAAAGTCGATGCCACTGTGATCAGTGGGTTCGATCCCCCGCACCGACGAACTTCTTTGCTTTTTTTGGAAAATAAACACGATTTTTCAGGATTTTACATTGCTTATCGACAAGCCATTTTTTCAGACTAATCGTCTACCCACGGCGCTTCGATTTCGCGAAGAAAACCCTGAACTTGATCGACTTGTTGACGATTCTCCCGTTCTACTTGGAGCTCTGCTTGCCGCTTTTTGGCGTCTACGCGAGCAAGTTCAAGGATTTTACTGGTAAACACTTTCAGAGAGTTTCTATTCAAAAAGTTTTAAAGAGAATTTGAATCCCCTCGAATCCTCGAATTCTTTTAGGCTCTGATCTCAAAATTTTGATCCTAAGCCTAAGCCTAAGCCTAAGCCTGAGCCTAGGCCTGAGCCTGAGCCTGAGCCTAAGCCTAAGCCTGAGCCTGAGCCTAAGCCTAAGCCTGAGCCTGAGCCTAAGCCTAAGCCTGAGCCTGAGCCTGAGCCTGAGCCTAAGCCTAGGCATGAGCCTGAGCCTGAGCCTGAGCCTGAGCCTGAGCCTAAGCCTAGGCCTGAGCCTGAGCCTGAGCCTAAGCCATTATTGGTTTGCTTTAAAAGAAGTGCGGTAATCCAAAGTGAAAATTCGGCATTTAATTGAAGCATTCGCAGCATTCTAGCGCTATTTGGCTGAAAATAATTCAAGTAAATGACTCAAAACAGGCGACGAGCTGACTCTAACGCGGAGTGCACAAACGTGGATGGGTAAAGAGTTTTTCTTTTTGATTTTTCGGCGAAACAAAGCTTGCAACAAAGCTTTAATGTCTCAAAAGTTCTTCTACTTTTTGTAAACCGATAGCTCGTCTCGGAAAGCACTTTCTTTTCGTAAAACCAACACCGGATTCTAAAAATTCAGATCTTTTTACCTCTAAGATACTTTTTTGGATAAAAGCTGAAACTCTAAATAACTTTTTGATAAGGATGATGCTTAAGGCGCTTAAAGGCTTAAAGGCTAAAGAAGGCTTAAAGAACGCTTTTCTTTGAACACAGCGCTTTTTTTTGCTTTTGAGCTTGAAAATCTTTCATTTTAAAGATTTTTAAGATAAAAAGTTCGTTTATAGCTTGTTTTTTTAAGAAAAAAAGCTTGTTTTTTAAGAAACAAAGCTTGCAACAAAGCTTTAATGTCTCAAAAGTTTAATGTTTAAGCAAAAAAACAAGTTATAAACGTTATTTAAGCAAAAAAACAAGTCTATTAAATGATAATAACAGTTTTTTTTTAAAAAAATCGCATTCTGTAAAGTTTAAGCAAAGCAAAACTTTCGTAAAAGTCTTCAAACTTTTTAAAAATCCTATTTTGATTCAAAAAGTTGTTGAAAGTTGAAGTTTTTTCATGAAAATCAACAAATTTGAGAAAAATATCTGAATTTTGTAAAAACAGAAGTCAAAAAATGACTGCTTACCGAAGAAGTATAAGAACTTCTGAAATCCTGTGGCTTGCTTCAGTTCCGTATCCAGCCGGGGTACGGTAGCTGAGTGCCTCAATAGCTACGAACATAGCTATTAAGTCTAGCTCTTGTATCCCAGCTGAATACGGTAATCGGATCAGTATTTAGTCATTTAACTGGTTACCGTACCCAGTGGCTACTGTATCCAGTGGCTACCGTATCCAGTCAGTTAACTGGCTACCGTATCCAGCTGTGCCGAGTTACTGTACCCCAGCCGGAGTACGGTCGCTGGGTACCTCAATCGGGCTACGGTCATAGCTATGTCTAGCTCTTGTATCCCGGCTGAGTACAGTAATCGAGTCAGTACCCAGTCATTTAACTGGCTACCGCATCCAGCTGTGCCCAGTTACTGTACCCCAGCTGAGAGTACGGTAGCTGGCTACCTCAATCGGGCTACGGTAATAGCTATGTCTAGCTACTGTCATAGCTATGTCCAGCTCTTATATCCCAGCTGAGTACGGTAATCGAGTCAGTACCCAGTCAGTTAACTGGCTACCATCTGATGTCCAGTTACCGGATCCCAGCTGGAGTACGATAGCTGGGCACAGTGCCTAAATAGCTAAATCAGCTGAGTACCTCAATCGGGCTACGGTCATAGCTATGCCTTGTATCCCAGCTGAGTACATTAATCGAATCAGTATCCAGTCAGTTAACTGGCTACCGTATCCAGCTGTGCCCAGTTACTGTATCCAGTACGGTAGCTGGTCAGTTGGACTACTATTCATACCGTACCCAGCTGGGATACGGTAGCTGGTTTAGCTATTTAGGCACTGTGCCCAGCTATCGTACTCTCGGAGTATGGTAACTGAAAGAGCCTTGTTTAGCAAGCATTGTTTTGCAAGCATTGTTTCCGAAGAAAGTTGTAAAGTCTCTTTGTCATTGTGATCTGTCAAATCTACCAAAGAAAGCACAATTCAAAAATGGCACAGTTAACAGTTAGATTGATATTAATCCCAGGAAAACGTACAGTACATTGGTTTACTAATTGCGACCGGAAAAAGGATTCTATTATCGTCGTTTTTTTGCTTTGCTGTTTTTAAGAAAAGTTGCGAGAGTGCGAGAGAAAATCTCAAAAAAAAAAAATCGTTTTGTTTTGCCGAGATTAATGTAAACTTTTGTAATCTCACTTTAAAAGGTTTTCTTTCAAATTCCAGGCGCAATGCTGGTGATTAGAGTGCTCCGTGTGCTTCGAATGGCTCGAGTTTTCAAATTGGCCAGATACAGCACGAGTCTCCAGGTGGGAAAAGGGGATTTGGAGCTGGGTTTTTGAAATAAAACTCATCCCAGATTCGCTCAGCTTTGAAGCATTCAGTCAGTGTTGAAGCATTCAGTCATTGTTGAAGCATTCAGTCAGTGTTCAAGCATTCAGTCAGTGTTCAAGCATTCAGTCAGTGTTCAAGCATTCGCTCAGCTTTGAAGCATCCAGTCAGTGTTCAAGCATTCAGTCAGTGTTCAAGCATTCAGTCCGATTTCCAATTTTCCAGACTTTCGGTCACACCCTTCAATCCTCGATCACCGAACTCTCCATGCTTTCAATGTTCCTACTCACTGGCATCATTTTCTTCTCGACGATCATGTACTATTTGGAGCGCGACGAGCCGAACACCGATTTCTATAGTATTCCCGCTGGGTGCTGGTGGTGTGTGTAAGTGTTAAATGAACTTAAAACCAATGATTGAACTCAAAGAAGTCCAGAGGAATCCAGAGGAATCCAAAGGCATCCAAAGGCATCCAAACAAATCCAAACAATCCAAACAAATCCAAACAAATCCAAACAACTCCAAATTTTCAGTGTCACAATGGCCACCGTTGGTTACGGGGACGCAAAGCCGGTGACAACGAGTGAGTCAAATTGGAAATTAGACTTTGATTCTTCAAACAAAACAATCAACCCCACACTGTCAAATCATTTTACTCGTCTAAACATTCATCTATAAATGTTTAAAGTCTAGAAACTCTAGAAAGAGAGCAAGCCAGACCAGCAGCAAGATCAGGCCGATATTCTGGCTAGATCTAGAGCTGATCACGAGAATTTTACACTTTATGAAATCAAAATGTCAGAGATTGACTTGGCTTAGCTGTGGCTTAGCTCAAAAAGTGTCAGAGTCCAGCAAGGAGTCAAATCCAGGGATTGTAGGCCAAGTCCAGGGATTGTAGGCCAAGTCCAAGGACTGTAGGCCAAGTACAGGGATTATAGGCCGAACCCAGGGACTGTAGGTCAAGTCCAAGGACTGTAGGCCAAGTCCAAGGACTGTAGGCCAAGGTCCAGGGGCTGTGGGCCAAGTCCAGGGACTGTAGGCCAAACCCAGGGATTGTAGACCTGCAGCAAAGTCAGTTCTGAGTCAGCAAAGGCAGCTTCTGACCTAGCCTTCAATTTTTGATTGAAACATTTGAATGTTCTTAATGTACAAGGTATATTTATCATAGATCAATCTCTGTTTCATTAAACGAAAGCTTTCAGTGGGAAAACTCGTGGCGACGACAACGAGCATTTGCGGGATTATCGTTTTGGCTTTCCCCATTTCAATGATCGTTGAGAAGTTCGCCTCCGCTCAACAAAAGTCCATCGAGGAGACGCAACTTGCGCAAGGTAAATTCTACTGAAATATTTTGATATTTCAAATATTTTCAAGTTAAACCTATTCAATAACTCTTTCAAAAGATGGTTTTTTAAAGTTTTTAAAGTTAGCTTGTTTTTTGATTTGAATTGAGCTATTTTTTTAAAAGGAGGATCAGTTTTAAGACTATGTATTAGATTATAAACGAAAAAAGAATAGAGGAAAACAGTCTTGAAGATTAGTGCGCCAAAGTGCCGTTTTTCTATAATCAAAATGGCACTTTAGCGCACTTTTCTATTTTTCTCTATATCTCGACTCTCAGTGATCGGATCAATTTAAGATTAATTTTAAAATGATCCTTATGAAATTTGGCTATAGAAAAGTCCAATTTAATTCGTATACTCGTGTGTAAGAACATAGAGAAAATTTGAGTCAAAGTTGAACTGCCTACCTGGAAAGGTTGATCAACTCAGATGGTCTAGAACTCAAGGTATAGAAGTTGAATCCACTTAGGGTTAGTTTCAATAGAATCTTCATTAAATTTGGCTATAGAAAAGTGAAATTTGTTTTGTATACCCATGTGTAAGAACATGGAGAAAATTTGAGTCAAGGTTGAACTGCCTACCTGGAAAGGTTGATCAACTCAGATGGCCTAGAACTCAAGGTATAGAAGTTGAATCCACTTAGGGTTAGTTTCAATAGAATCTTCCCTAAATTTGGTTATAGAAAAGTAGAATTTGTTTTGTAGACTCACTGATAAGAACATAGAGAAAATTTGAGTCAAAGTTGAACTGCCTATCTGGAAAGGTTGATCAACTCAGATGGTCTAGAACTCAAGGTATAGAAGTTGAATCAACTTATGATTAATTTCAATAGAATCTTCATTAAATTTGGCTATAGAAAAGTGAAATTTGTTTTGTATACCCATGTGTAAGAACATAGAGAAAATTTGAGTCAAAGTTGAAGTACTTATATGTAAAAATTTCGAATTTCCAGCGCAACTCTCGGCCGCGGCCAACAACGCTCTGTTGCGTCGTTTCCCGACTCGACGAAAGCAAAGAATGAGAGCAATTGTCGAGAGTCACGACAAGCTATTGAGTACTGTAACTTGAGCAGATTTTTGGACTTCATATTTTATATGATTTTATATGATTTTATCGGATTTTTTTCCAATTTTTCCAATTTACGGAAATACCGGTTTTTTTTTTCTCTTCTTGTTGCAAGATCTCAACCCTCTATTTCATTGTCTATTCCATTGTCTATTCCATTGTCTATTTCATTTTCCGTTTGCTGTTCGAATGAATAAACTTTAAATCAATTTAAAAACCGGAATCATAAAGTGTTTGGTCTTGTCTTGGTCTTGGTCAGACAATTGAAAGTGAATTTAAAAGTTTAAACCAAAAAACCCAAGTTTAACCCAAGCTTCAATTAGTAGAATGAGTAAAATGAATATAACCAATCGATTCGCCGATCTCGAAAACCCTCGAATACAAATTTACAGGTGAATCTTTTCTTTTAAGACCAGCTACAAAGCAAAAGAGAAATCCCTAAACGAGGTGTTCTTTGTACGGCCACGTAATCGTTCTTCATCTGACAAACCGCCTCGGATGGGGTGCTTGGCTTTTGGAATCCGTCAAGGTGAAGGGACGGTGAGCGAATGGTCCTCAGCATTGTTTTATCAATTGGCAATCTACCAGCAAAATAGAATCGTAAATGACTGGCGAGGTGTTCTTTGTGCGCGGCGTAATCGCTCGCTTTCTGACAAACAGGCCCGGATAGGGTCCCTCCCTTTTGGAATCCACAAGGGAAGGAGTGGTGAGGGAATGATCCTCCTCCGGTCGCTCCTCGATGTTGATGTGATTTGTCGATTGGTCTGGACCTCGTTTTCGCATTCGCAAAGTATCTATGACTTTTGCTGCATTATCTTGATCCAAAATAACTGAGACTATTGGCAAAACTCTTGGCAAAACAAAACAGGAGAAAGAGCGGTGAGCGACTGAGCCTTTTTGACGTCACTATTCCCAAATTTTTCCTAAAAAAGAAATCTATATGTAAATTACTGGCAAGGGGTTCTTTGTGCGCCGGCTTAATCGCTCGCTTTCTGGCAAACCGCCCTAGATAGGGTGCTTCCCTTTCGGAATTCGTAATCCTTTTGGAATTCGGGATCATCCTCCGGATTTCGCTAGTTCAATTGATCGTTGGTCTGGACCTCGTTTTCGCATCAAGTATCTATAACTTTTGCTGCATTATCTCGATCCAAAAGAACTGAAACTCTTGGCAGGAAATCCAGGGAAAGGGAAAGGAGCAGTAAACGATTGAGGCGTTTTTTTGACGTCGCCAAATTCGTCGCTTATTCCCAAATTTTTGAGAAACAATTTTTCCCTTTAAATTCGCTTATTTCTGAGAAAAGTTATGGACTTGAAAATCGATATTTTTCTATAAGTTTCTCATTCTGTTAAACTAAAACCAGTCGAGAAAATTCAAGGTTAAAACTGCTCAGGAAAGCTGACGAAAAGCAGCTTAGCAGAAAAGCAGAAAAGCTTAAACGAGCTGCTTTTGGTCAGCTTTAAATTAAAGTAATCATTTTTGCATGAAAGTTCATCAAAAATCCAATCGATCACCATTTTCTATCATTCGAAAGCACGAATTGTAGCATTTATCCCACTCCCAACGTTAGATATGAGCTTATTGCTGCCAAACTTGCGATTCTTTGCGATGAACTAGAAAAAGTTGGTGATTTTGGACAAAGTGTACTGGTCCATGCTCTACTCTTACATCTTGGGCCATTTGTCCATGAGCATAAATTCATCGGAAATGCATCCGAAGAGGGCATTGAAGCAGTTCACAGCAAGCTAGAATCTGAATTTGCTCGAAACAAGACAGGACCACAAGAAGAGCGACCAAATGAACTCGCTCAAGTGGCTCGGTTATGTTGTTCTCCTCAATGATGATGGAAAGATGACATCTTAATTTCCTCCTTTTTGCTTAATGTTCAATTGGGACTCTTTTTTTTTTGTCTAATTCATGCTTATACAGTAGCGGACAAAGACTTAGCATAATTTAGTTTTTTTATAATAAAACTCGCTGTTTATGCAATATTTACCTAAAACTTCGAAATATAATAATAAAACTTAATGTTTTAACAAAAACAATTGCTATTTAGCCAAATAGAGACTTTTCGAAAAAAATTTTGAAGATTTTTACACAAAAAGCACGTGTGGCTGACTGGTTAAGTGTCTTTTATCTTAATCGGAAGGTCGAGGGTTCGAACCCCACATGCGACATGGTCACCCCCTTCGGATTTCCTTTCCCTTCGGGTTGAGAGGTTTTCTGGAGGGCAGTCTGGTGGTTGTGGCCCCAGTTCTTTAAAGTGACAAGCCACTCCTTCATCGTCATCTTCCCTTCACCACCAAAAAAGCTATTTAGTTCCCCATTGAGCTTAGGGTTAGGGAGCCGTCTGTCATGACGTGGGTTAAGTTAAGATATAGCCTAGTATTGTGTGTGTCGTTGTATTGTGATTGATATATTTCGTGTATGCGATAAATTCACCACTGGTAGCCCCAGTCGGTATTTAAAAAAAAGAACTGGTGCGACAAAGACTTCATTTTGCATTTCCCAGTAATTTTGATTATTTTTCTGTGTTTTTTTTTCTTAATTTGAGCTATAATTTGATTGAAATTTATTATTTTATTAATTTCAGTCAATGGGTCGCAAGAAACAACTCCAGCCTGCTATTCGGGATACAATTGTGGCTCTTCATCAAGCCGGTGAGAGACAGTTCATTTTTGAATCGCTCAAATTTTCATTTTTCATTAAATTCATTAAATTCCTTCAATTCCTTCAATTTCTTCAATTTCTTCAATTTCTTCATTTAAAAAATTGACTCACATTACTCGTCATCTAGAAAAAAAAACATTCAAAGTCTTTTTCAATTCAATCTTTTTTTCAATTCGAAAATTCCTCTTGTCACCAAAGAGTAAACGAATTGCTGACTCATTCACTTCAAAAAAAGTGTCCACAAAAATATGGTAGCGAGAATAAATACCCAAAAAAGAACACGAATTTGAATGGAAACCCTCGAAAATGCACATTCACATTCGCGAACACTTCAAATCTCAGAAAGTTTTGAATTTCCGATTCTTGGTATTCTTGTTATTCTTGGTATCAATTTTTTGCTGCCTTTTTACACAAAAATCAATCTTTTAAATCAATCCCGTCCAGTAAGAGCAAACCTGGTTTTTACTAGAAAAAAGCCTTTGCTCTCCTGCTAGCAAAGCCTTAAGCTTATTTCAAAAATCGCAAAACGTTTCGACCGTGACAGGACTCGAACCTGCAATCTTCGGATTCGAAGTCCGACGCCTTATCCATTAGGCCACACGGTCATGCCGAGAGCGGCAACCATTTTCCCTATCAAACCCCAACAAAAAAAAATGCCATTCTCTAAAAAATGCAAATTCCATTTCGATAACCATTTTCTAATCTAATCGAGCAAATTTTCGATTTGTATTTTTGAAAATATTAAAACTTTCTACTTTACTTTATAACTAGAGACTTTATTTAACAATTCTCATGAATATCTTCTTATTTTTAGTTATTTTTAGCTATTTCTAGCTATTTTAGCTATTTCTTTTTGATAGATCTCTGTAAATATCAATGAGAAAACGTTTAAAACTTTCCCTTTCCATGAGTCATTCGATTTTTTTTGAATAATCCCCCGAAAGCTGGTGGCTTTTCGAAATATCGAGATCCGCCCAGTTTGCGAAAAAAAAAATCGATCATTAGACTCGTTTTTTTCGCAAAAATTTCATAAGTTTACTTGTGCCTTTTGGCTTTTTCGAATTTCTTGCCAAATTCGCCTAATTATCTAATTTCTAAAGACTTCTTTATCGATTAAAGAGCAGTGTCCGTCCGTCCGAACGTTCATCTTTTTCTCAGCCGTCTTTAGGCCAAAAAAACTGAAGCTCAAAGTTGAGTGACACGAGTCGAGATCGAAACTAGACCATGCGAGCTGTAGACAAGCTCGCCAATGACTGCGCCACGACGACAAACGCCACGACGAAATCCCCAAAGCATCCTGCCATAGCGGCTGGATTTTTGGGCTGGATTGTCGGCTGGATTGGTGCTTGTCTACAGCCCACAGCGCTTGTCTACAGCCCCATGGCGCTATCGGGAGCACGCTTGTCTACAGCTCACACGAGCCGGGTTCGACCCCGGGTCGTGCCACTGAATTTTGAATTTTCGGCTAGTACTATAATGAATTTTTGACAGGATTCTTGGAGTCTACTGTGGCTTAAAGTGGCTGCAGTTCTGCTGCAGGCTTCAAATAGACTGAACCATCAATTCTCTGAAATAGACTGAACAATAATCTCAAACTTCAGCAAACTTCAGCCACAACTTTCACATTCGAATTTCATCCAATACTTTGATCGATCTGTTTCCTATTTCTCTGGGATATTGTATTTGTGTTGTTGTGTATTTGTTTGCCCTCGAATTGTCGTCCAATGATTCATTGTTGGGCGGTGGAATCGCTCTTTTTGACTTCAATCCGGGCAGAGGAATAGAGAGCATGAAGGCTGAATTTTTGCCTGAAGGCACTCTTGCATTGCTCGACTTTTCCATGTTCACCATTTCTTTTAAAAAAGAAATCCTTTAGATAGTTTTTGATCCTTTTTGATCTTTTTAAACTTTTCAAACTTTTTTGAACTTTATTAACTCGTTTTTATCTTTTCAAAGTGAAATTTGATACTATTCCTTTTAATTCCATTGTAAAAACTTTCAAAAAAGCATTCCAAAAGCGCCACGAATTTGTTTAACAAAGAAAATATTCAGAAATATTCAGAAATATCCAGAAAAACTCGATTTTATCAAACGATGATCTCCAAAGGATTCTTATTGGGTAAAGCATTCAAATCCAACAAATTTCCCAAACCTCTTCCAGGTCTATGTTTCTTCGTCGCGAAAATCTCCGCTCAAAATGTGACTCGCTCGAAGCGACAGGATATTTGCATGAATTTAAATGTGAGCTCGAAAAAGAATAGCATTATCCACTTGTATTCAAAAGCAATTCAATTAAAATGCTTTTATTTATGCTTTTAAAATGATTTATCACCATTAGAGCGTTGACTTTTGGATGAGCATTGACTTTGACGATTAGAGCATTGACTTTTGAAACCCCGTCGCCAGGATGTCAAACGTTTACGGAGAGCTTCGGAGAATTGCTAAAGCTTCGCCCAAAAGCCTTTGTAGAGCATTATCCACTTGTATTCAAAAGCAATTCAAAAGCAATTCAATTAAAATGCTTTTATTTATGCTTTTAAAATGATTTATCATCATTAGAGCATTGATTGGATGAGAATTTTGGATGAGAGCCGTCGCCAGGATTTCAAACGTTTACGGAGAGCTTGCTAAAGCTTTTTGCTAAAGCTAAAGCTAAAATTGCTAAAGCTTCGCCCAAAAGCCTTTCTAGCGAGCTCCAAAAGCTTTAAATCGAGCTTTAGCTTTAGCTTTAGCTCACGTCTCCTAGGTAAGCTGATACCAAGAGTCTAGAAGTTTCAAAAAGCAAGTTTCGACCGTGACACGACTCGAACCTGCAATTTTCGGAGAGCTTCGCAGAATTGCTAAAGCTTTGCCCCAAAAAGCGCTCAATCAATTTACATCCAAAGAAGAAAATTTAGCAAAATCTTCAGGCTACATCAAGAATATTATAGAGTTTTTCTAAAATTAAATCCACTTGGAAAAAATCAACTTTATCGTGACAATGCAAACCAAAATTTTCTTCTTCCATGAGCTTCAGCAGAGCCAAAACAACCTTTCAGCCAACCCAACTTTCAGCCTTTCTAGCGAGCTCCAAAAGCTTTAAATCGGATTTTTAGCTCGGTAAACTGATAACAAGAGTCTAGGATTGTTTTGTTTCAAAAAGCAAAAAGTCTCGACCGTGACAGGACTCGAACCTGCAATCTTCGGATCCGAAGTCCGACGCCTTATCCATTAGGCCACACGGTCACGGGTTTGGGGCTTCCTGGGTAATGACTAAGAGTCTACTCCCCTAGATTTTTACTCAAAACTCCTAGATTTGTTTCTCCTAGAAATCAAAGCTTGATCATATGATGGACTAGTTTGGGCTAGACTTCGATGACCGTGTGGCCTAATGGATAAGGCGTCGGACTTCGGATCCGAAGATTGCAGGTTCGAGTCCTGTCACGGTCGAAACTTTTGCTTATTTAGGAAACTGCTTTTCTGGTGTTTACCAAAGTTTAAATGCCAATAAATGAGCTCACTTGTTAGCCTGTTAGCCTCCAAAATGAAAGTAATTCCTCACTCTAGGAAGTCCGAACCTGCTACGCGAACTATATCACCCTTTATGGTCTACTCGCGCAAAATGTGAACGGAAGACCGGTATTTCGTTTGAGACTTTTTCAAAACAAGAGTTTAACTTGTTTATTAGGTTTTTAATAGTTAAAAAAACTCTATTTCGTCTTCAGATTCTCCAGAGATACGAGCTCTACGATCGCTTGATAAAAGTCACCGATTTAACGACGATTTGCAAGTGGGTTTCATGAAAAAATGCGTAAAAAGGTAGAGTGCTTAGAGAGGAAGCCGTCTTACCTTTTCCAAAGGTTATTTTTGCATTCCTTTTCAACTTTTCTCCGTTCAAATCCAAAAATCTCATTTTGTATACTTTTCAGAGAAAGAAATGCCTTTATTAGTAATCTCAGTTTACTAAAATTGCTAACAATAATGATCAGAATGAGATTTTTGTCTGTTTGTCTGTCTGTCTATCTGTTTGTCTATCTGTTTGTCTGTCTATCTGTCTGTCTATCTCGTCTCTCTGTCTCTTCCCTCCCCCCGTCTTCTTTCTTTCCTCTGCTGTCTTTGTCGTTCTGTCTGTCTATCTGCTGTCTGTCTGTCTGTCTGTCTGTCTATCTGCCTGTCTGTCTATCTATCTGCTTGTCTGTTTGTCTGTCTGTTTATCCAAAAAACTCTATTAAACCCACAGAATCCAGTAATCCGACCTGATTAAACGATTCAGTTTAGCTAGAAATCGAAAACAAACCTTACAAAATCGAATTTCTTTTCAGAAATTTCGACGTGCTTCGCGGGTGTCTAGGCGGAAACGAGGATCTTTGCATCACACCGAACACCATGTTGCAAATCACCAGCAGTCCGAATGATGTGAGTTGTGAAAGCGTATGCTTACGGCTATGCACTAGGCTCGGGCAAAAGTGAGATCATCACAAAGTTTCCCTCTAAGAACTTTCCGGCAAGGTAGCTGAATTGATTGAAATCTCGAAAACATGAACCCATCGATGTGTGACTAGCTGACTCTGTGATTCTGATCTTGTCGAGGATTTGAAAGCTTTTGTTGCTTTTTGAGCTGTTGAAAATTTAAACCTGTAAAACAAGTAAAGATTAGAAGAAATCTAGAATCTAGCCAAGATGGCCATTTGGCCTTTTACAATGAAAAGACTTTTTATGGCTTTTCTTGCTTACAATCAGTATCGAATTGCAATTGCAGGCCCGCGATTATCTCTTGGACTACTCGTTCTTTCAAAGCGTTTGTGGCATCGGAAAAGATGGTGAGAGAAATCGATCGTTACTTTTGATAAGCTTAACAATGCAATGTATTTAGCAAGACGATTTGCTTGCCTTTCTTTCTCTTTCTTCCTTTCTCTTCTCTCTTTCTCTCTTTCTCTTTCTTTCTCTTTCTCTCTCTCTTTCTCTCTTTCTTTCTTTCTCTTTCTTTCTCTTGGGAAAGAAAAAGGAAAAGATTTCGATGATTTCTGATCGTTTTCCGTTTTTTTAAACAAAAAGCTTTAGTAGATTTACGAAATTTTATATAATTTCGTGAAATTTGAGTTCAGAAAAGTGGATTTTGAGAAGTTAATAATAATAATAATAATACTTTATTCAAACGATAAAGTGAAAGAAATCATAGAGAAATGCACAGTGATCCTTAATCATACAATACATACTGAAATCAATAAGCCAATTACTTACGGCAAAGAGCCACTAGATCTAAAGCATCGATACGTTTCTTGAATATGAAAAGCGACTGAATTTCTCGTATGTCGTTTGGGAGCTAGTTCCATAATCTAGCGGCTCTAACGGGAAATGAATTTGATAAAGAGGCATTGGAAGCAAAGGGAATTTGCAAAAGGAATGAGCCACGTTAATAGAGAAAAAAAAGCCTGGTTTCAAGTTTGTCAAGCCTAAAGAAAGGACAGCAGTTTTATGATTCGTCGAATTTTTTAAGGTCGAATTTTTTACTTCTAGATCTAAAGCTTTTTCTACAATACTAAAAGTTATTTATACTGAAAAATCTAGTTGTATTTTAGTTTAGAAAAAGATAAAAATGAATTGGATAAGATTTAGCAAAAGTTTTGAAAGAAAAAAAGCTTAAGTTTCAAATTTGTTAAAGTAGAGAAAAGATCAAAGAGTTTAATAAGACTTTTCGACTTCTTCACTTTTTCACAGCAAAAACAAAAGCTGTTTCTGATCTAGCAGCAGAACAACTCGCCTAATTGCTTCAGAGAAGCGGAGAAGAGAAGTCTTGAGAAGCTAATAGAGAAAAAAGAGCTTAGTTTCAAGTTTGTCAAGGCCCAAGAAAGGACAGCAGTGTTAGTTCGTCGAATTTTTTAACGTCGAGTTTTTAACTTCTAGATCTAAAGCTTTTTTCTACAATACTAAAAGTTATTTATATTCAAAAATCTAATTGTATTTTAGTTTAGAAAAAGATAAAAATGAATTGGATAAGATTTAGCAAAAGTTTTGAAAGAAAAAAAAAACTTAAGTTTCAAATTTTTTAAAGTTCAAAAAGAATAAAGAAGTTTAATAAGATCCTGATTTTTTTTTGACTTGAAATCAATTTTTAAATGATTTTAAATTCTAATATATTATATTTTTCAATTCAATTGATTTCTTCATTCTATTTTCATTTCGAATCATTCGTTAGCGGGCTAGCCGTTACCGAATTATTCGTTAACGGTTGAATTTCGTAAACGACTGTCTTAGTCGTTTACGAAATTCAACCGTATATAAATAAAAGTTTCAAAAAAATCAACATTTCACTTTTTCACAGCAAAAACAAAAGCTGTTTCTGATCTAGCAGCAGAGCAACTCGCCTAATTGCTTCAGAGAAGCGGAGAAGAGAAGTCTTGAGAAGTTAATAGGGAAAAAAGGAGCTTAGTTTCAAGTTTATCAAAGCTAAAGAAAGGACAGCGGTGTTAGTTCGTCGCTAAATTTTTAACTTCTAGATCTAAAGCTACCTAGCTAGCTAGCTAATCTAAAGCTTTTTCTACAATACTAAAAGTTATTTATATTCAAAAATCTAATTGTCTTTTAGTTTAGGAAAAGATAAAAATAAAATGGATGGAAAAGATTTGGGAAAAGTTTTGAAAGAAAAAAAACTTAAGTTTCAATTTTTTTAAAGTTCAGAAAAGATCAGGGAGTTTGGTATACTTGATTTTTTTTTTAATTGAAATTAATTTTTGATTGATTTTTCTAATCTTTAGATACTAATACATTTATGAAACAAAAGAAACAAAAAAACCAACTAAAACTGACTTAACAGCAAGATTTCTTTTTTACAGTCTCTAACTATAAACGAGGCTCAAAAGAGCTTTCAGTTGAGCTTTAGCTCAAATTCAAGATTAACAGAGAGAAAGAGAAAGAAAGCTAAAGCTAAAGCTCAACTGAAACCTCTTTTTGAATGAAAGCACTTTTCAAATTATATTTTGATTTCTATTTAAATGCTAATTCCATAAATAAAAATGTTGATTATTTAGCACAAAATCGTCGGCTTATTTAATCTAAATGAGGAAATGGTTTGAGCTCGAAGTTCAGAAGCTCAGAAGCTCCGTAAATTACCCTTAAAAGAACAGCTTTAGTCTTTCTCGAGAATCAAATGTGTCTCTCGAACGCTTTCGCGCAAGGATCCCTCTCGAATCGAATCGTTCAATGCGGTGGTTCAAGCTCGCAAGATCAACAAAATCAAATGATGATTTGCGAGTGAGTTTTCGCGATTCAAGACTAACAAAATTACATCAATTTTCACCAAAGCAAAGGACTAGAAAAAGCCATTTATTTCGATCTAAAATCCTTTTTTTATGGTATTCCACAAAATCTCATCAACCTAACCATCAACATCAAACTCTTTCACAAAACAAAATTCAGCCGAGGCATCGCAGCGGTTGGCTGTGTCCGCGATCAGTTCTCCCAACTTTGCGGCATTCCAAGTGGGAAAGCCGTTTGCTCAGCGGCCGTCAATATGGCTAGAGGTGAGCAGATGATCTAACTGTTGAGTTCTCAGCCAAAACGTCATTTATCCTCTAGCAAACAACAGAAAACAATTTTCCCAAAAATAGAAAAAAGTTTCGACCGTGACAGGACTCGAACCTGCAATCTTCGGATCCGAAGTCCGACGCCTTATCCATTAGGCCACACGGTCACCTGGGAGAAGGCGAGGGGAAAGGGGTTGAGAAAGGGGGAGCGGAGAGAGGGTGGGGCTTTTTGCCTAAAAGAGAATACGGGCAAATGGTGTTTTCAGGGTTACGAGAGGCCGATGTCACGTGCATTCAACAAATGGATTTCGTCTGCAACTCGATCGCTCATCTTCAATATCCCTTGTTTACATTTGCATTGATTTTCCTGTTTTTTAAATGTTAATTTGCTAGATTTCATAAGTCCGGGATGCTCAAAGTTTTGTCCTCTAAATATTGCCACGTTTGTTAACTTCACATTTCTCAATATTTATTTCGAAAAAAATACACTTTATTGACTACCCAACGAAGAACCTAAAAACAATTAACATGAAGCCTTTTTTTACGTGGCTAACAAAGCAATTTCATATCCTGTTTAAGCAATAGGAGAAGAGAACTTTATGGCGAGAATAATATTTCATCGATCCAGAGTGGCAGAGAAAGAGGGGAGGAAATAGCAATAAAGTTGTCTATAGACAAATATAAAAAGCGCAAAACGAGGAGAGAATTTGAATAGAGTGTTAAACAAAATGAGGGGAACAATGAGGACAATAGAAAGACCCGAATTTGCCCAAAAAGAAATCAGTAGAAACATTCAGAGCTTGAACATAATTTGGTAAAATTAGAGCTGTTTTTTCTCGATTGGTCCAAGTCCCATACGGCGGCTTTCGCTCTCATAGATAATGAGCCTCCACATTTTCACGACAAACGTTTCCGCCTCATCATCGAGAATCTAAAAAAGTAAAGATTGATGGCTGATTTCAGGCGGATAGATTTAAAATGCAAGTTTGAAGTTTCAAAAATTCAGACGCAAACCGCATCACTCACCAATCGCATATCCTGAAGCAATCTGTCAGGCTGCACGTGAGCTTGAATCTTTTCGCAAACAAATTCGACTAGCGATCTTTCATCCTAAATAATCAATGAAATTGAAAAATTAAGCAAATATCAAACCTCTCCAATGTAATGCTGAATCTTGCTGGTCACCCAAGGCCTCACGCGTGTCTCGATCAACTTCGCATCAACGAAAGCCCAATCGATGTTAAATGCGAACAAAGCATCTAAAAATGTGATTCGTTAGCTAACTTTGTTTAGAATGCTTAGAATACTAACCTTTAGCTGTAGGAATCTTGTCAATCAACTCTTTCGCCTTTTTCTTTCGTTCTTCTGGTGTCAAGACCTATAGAGCTAATAAATAGGCATATATGAAAATACTCACCTGCATTCGATCTTCATTTGTAATTTCAAACGGCTTCAGCTTCTTCCGCACTGGCTCTTCCTCCTCTTCGTCGTCCATTCCTAAATTTTAGCATATTAATACAGTTAGATAAATTGTGCGATTTAAGCAATAAAGAAAAACATGAACCAACCAAAAACTCCATTAAGACGTTGAGAGAGATCGGGTCGAGGTGATGGTTTTCCATTTGGTGATGCCCGACCATTGTTTGAACTAGACGGTACAGTAGCAGTCGCCCCAGACGGTATTGTGATAGCCGCTAAATAAGAGTTTTGCATTGGCTAAAGCTTCAATATACTTACTTTTCCACTTAGACGAGTTGTCTTTAGTATCTTCTTTCGGAGTTCCGGTATCATTATTGGGAGTTGAGGTCCAGCCTCCTTCCGGTTCAATTTTAACCTTTTTGTCACCATCCTCACCTTCAGATTCGCTTCCAGAGCTAAAATGCAATGTTGTTGAACGATAAACTTATCTGTGTGGCATACCTTCCTGACTCGCTCTCCTCACTACTTTCACCTTCTTTGTTACCGGCTGGTTTGTGTGGATTGGGACTACCACTATCCTCGCGAAGCTTTCGAAGAGCTGCTTCTTCCTACAAAACATTTCATTTTCAATAAACTGCAAAAGAAACAAGTCTAACCTGAATGCGGTGTCGTTTCTTTGCCTCTTCTTCAGCATCCATTGCTTCTTTACCCTCAGCAATAATTTGTTTCTTGAGATCCTCAATCTAAATAAGTCAATCATAAAACTCTCCAAAACAAAAGTTTAATACTTCTTGAATTTCCTTTTTCCGATCAAGAGCATCTTGTTCTTTTTCTTTTTCGTAATCGCGACGTCGTTGGAACAAAGAACTACTTCTAAAAAGTCTAGATAATTATGTTTCAATAAACAAATATTTACTTGTAGTATTTAACATCATCTTTTTCATCATCGTAGTCTTCCAAAAAGTGGCGCAGCTTCTTGGCTTCTTTTTGCACATCTCGTCGTCTTTGTTGCTCTTTGGACTCCTCTTTCTCGTAAGAACGAGCCATTCTTAAACATTGTTAATAAAGATCTTATTAGACTAGCTACGCCATTTTTCAAAGTATCCATCTTTACAGCTATTCGTTCTTCTTTTAAAAAACAAACCTTCTTTCTCGGACTTCCCATTTCTTCAGTCGATTCACATAGGCCATCTCTTTTTCCTTGAGTTGCTTTTTGAGCTGTTTCTTTTCCCTTGCATCCTCGGAATCTTGCGTATCGGCGCTAAATACTCAACATTGAGGTTACAAAATTTGAACTAACCTTCGCGAGCGGCTTCTTCTTTTCTTGTCATAATTAGTTGACCGGCTAGAAGACCGAGAGGACCGAGAGCCCGAACGTGATCTCGAATCCGAGTCCGAAGATGAAGATTGGCGACGCTTTCTAAAATACAGTCGAACCTCTCTATAACGAACCTCGATATAACGTAAACCTCTCTATAACGTAAGGCGTGACCGGTCCCGGCCGACGTTAAGCTATATAAAACGGCACTCTATATAACGTAAACCTCTATATAACGTAAGCTATAGCCGTCCCGTGAGTTACGTTATAGAGAGGTTCGACTGTATATATGTTAAAGAGTAACAAGACAAAGCCTGATGAAGTTTAATACTCATCAGTCAAGTCCACTGATAAATTTTTATCACCCCCACTTGTTTCTTGGAGTACGAGACCGGCGCCTTCGCGGGCTCCTCGATCGAGAGACACTTCGACTGCGGCTGTGTCGACGCGCACGATCCTAAATTTCATTCATTCATTTATACCACCTAAGATAACACTCCCCAAATTAGAATCACAACCTTTTTAAGGCAGCAGTGACTCGTTATTTCATTTTTTATGAGGTAAGTATGCTATGAGGGCACGTCCACAATAGAACCCTAATTAGGTTGAAAATTGATCAAAACTCTTATGTAAAAATCAAAAAAATTCCGCGGTCAGGTTCTATTAGTCAACGTGCCAAAAACAAATACAGAAATCTGTTCGAAGACACGCCAGTCAGCGGCAGCAAACAATTAAAAAAATCAACTGGCTTTCTGTTTAAAAGTTCGCAGAAGATTGTAAGAGTTGACGGGACTTGATTGGAAATTTCTGCATCATTTTTTCTTGCGAAAACATAAAAATGTAATCAAGTACCACCAAGTTCAATGAAACATGACAATTTTCCACTTACAAACCCTCGGGGATTGCGTTTGTGAAGATATCTGAAAGCTAGATATCAGAAAACACTTTTTCGTGAAAATATTAATCGTAAAGCAGTAGTTCAAATCGGACGTTAATAACCGCTAGGTGGTGTGCAAAAAAAAGTGGAATCAGGGATCCAGTTCTGGTGTGGAGATAACAGCAGAGAAGCTGAAAATCCTGGAAATTCTTGGAGACCTATGATAAGTGGATGAATTTTACTTTTTTATCACATTACTGTTTCCTTGACTACTTTCCAAGATTTTCAACTCCTTCAAAACATAGGATTAGCGAAGATTTGTACGGACTAAAGGTATAGAAGCCTCATACCGGAGTGTGATGTGTGACCAAGAAATACCATCACCATTTAGAGATAGAGAGAAACCGGAAAAGAACAAATCAGTCGTGTAAAGTGTGGAAAGGATTTGTATCTAATGATGGCTGTGTGTAATGAAAAACAAAAAAATCAATTGAAATGTGTGCTAACGTGTGGGTACGGAAAACATACCTAGAAAACCGTACCAAGCATGCTTTTTAATATTGAAAACACTGGGGGTTTTGCTTTTTTTGAAAGTACAAGCGTTTGGTCTTGAGCTAATGCAAAAGAAATGAGCTCGAACATTCATCGGGGTTCAGCAAACCATTGACAGTGCATGCAAAGCATAGGTAGCAAACTATTCCAAAAAAACACGTTTGTAGGTATCTACTGTGCTCTAGTGTTTCCAAAACCTTTTAAAGCATGATTTTTAATCAAATTGGCAGCCAGTTATTCAAAGAAAAAGATTTTTTATACCACAACCGTCAAAAAGTTGAGACCTCAACGCGAAAATGTTAAACGAAAATAGGCAAGCATTTCTCTCCTCTCGCTAATCAAAATTAGATAAATGTTTGTTTGGTCAGGGTTAGGCATACCAAGTGTGACACACATACCATCCAACTTTTTTCCGCACTTTTCGTTTGAAATGTTTTCCCTAAACACGATAATTGTGTGGGGGAAATAGACGGGAGGGAAATAGAGATCACAGTTAGTTTACTAAAAAAAAAGATATTGAATATATATTTGTTTACCTCAAACGCTTGTTTACTATTTCGTTGACTCTCTGGCTAAAATTTCAATGTTTCGTCACGAAAAATAATAAAAATGAGAACTCGTAAAAAGCCATGCAAAAAGGCCATCAACCAATATCAACTCTAACAAAGGTTAGTCGACCAATGAGGGAAACATGCAAACACTCGTGTAAGTTAGACATGTTGGCGAGAATTCTGAGTAACATTGATTGGCCATTAATGCTCCGATCAATAAAAACACACTTTAAATCATCAACGGGCTTGTAGGCGGAAAAATGCACATCTTAGGCCTTTCATTTTTGCAAAGATCTTTGATCAAATACATTGAGAAACATGAAGAAAAGCCTAAAAATTCAATTTTTCCACTTACAAGCTCAAGACAATTTTTTTCAATCCTACAAAAACAGTTTCAATTTTCTCTCTTCTTTTTTTTCAAATCATGTCCACTCAAATTCTCACCAACGTTGAACATAAATTCAAGCAGACAGGGACAGTCAGGATACCAAACTGTGTTGAATCCTAACTAGGACTGAAAGATTGATTGGCACGACCGGGTGGACGGCCGTGCCAAAAAAGTAGAACATACAAATAGTTGGTAATTACAGGAAATGGCATGTCTCTTGCTTTTCGCCACGGACATTTTTTCGAATGTCCCGGTGAAATTAGCGTTTACTCCTCACCTTATCCACATTCTTTCGTGTCGTTAATTCTGCGATACTATCGCACCCTATAGTGGGTGTTTTTTGAATGAAACAAGATTTGTTCTAGAACTTTCCAAGGAACCAAGTAACCAAAAGTAAAAGTTTAAAGGGTTCCGAATTTAGAGATTAAACATGCAGGCTTAGTTGTCTTTTAGTAAAAGAAGAAGCACTTAAAAACCCGCTCACCTTCCGGTCATCATTTTTGCGCCGGTCGTCTTTGCTCTTTTTATCCTTCTCTTTATCGGAGAGTTCACCATCTGAATTTACAAAGGTTTATACGATTTAACATTGTAATAGCAAAGCAGATGTTACAAAATAATCACCTTCAACGATCAGCAGCTCGGGATGATCCTTCTCAATCATGTTTAACACCTTTAGACGCACCTCTTCATCAATCTAAAAAGGTCGAATTTTTGCTGCATTGATCATAGACGAAATTCAAACACCAAAATTTGTTGGCTTGTTTCATAATTTGTTTCATAATTTGTTTGTTGTTAATCATTTTGAGCAGCAAATATTGTTTTCTGTTTTAAGTTTTATATCTTCTAATCACTCTACCTTCAGTGCTTCCTCATCGTGGGGCAACTCTTTCAATCCCAGCGTTGAACTGAATGGTGGCTTTCCTGAGAGAATTTGCTTCTTGTTCCACTCCTCCACTAGCTTCGACCGCACTTTATCGTCAGCCTAAAATTTTTCGTAAAAACTTCTATGAAGGTCAAATCCCACCCTAAGATTTAGCTTTTTGTCACCGATTTGAAAATCGTGCAGCACTCGCAAAGCGCGAAGAGTACCGTCTGGTTCGTCAAAATCACAAAATCCAAAAGCCTGAAAGAAAGGTAAGAAAAAAATCGAGAGAAAAAGGCGTTTGTATTAACCATTGTATTAAAGTTTGTATTAACCATTTGCATTAACCTGGAATTTTCCATTCGATCCCTTTATACGCTTCCAGTTCGAGACTTTGCCGCATTCCTAAAAGTAGCAATAAAAACTAGTAAACGCAAAACAAAAACAAACCTCCAAGATTTGCTGAATAAACTCGTTGGTGCACTTGTCGCTGATGTTTCCAACAAAAAGACTAGTTTGTGGAGGTCGCTAAAATTACGGTCAATTAACAAATGAGAAAAATTCTCTCACCTGAGCACCAGTCAAATTTTGTCCCCGTCCAAGTAGCGGATTGAAGTAGATTGTCGGAGAAAAGCCAACTAAACAATAAAATTATTAACGACATGAAAAATAAAATATGGGTCTTGAATATCCAAATCAAACTTTATTCCTACCTCTACCCTGCATGGTTTGAACTAAATGTTCAATGGCCTGTCTCTCTTGCTGAGCTGCCACAATATTGGCCAATTGAATCATATCCATTTTAACATTGATTTAGAACAATAAATGATTTCCCTAAATGTCCTGTTGTACAATCGAATAGACAAAGCGATGAGGGAATTTTCGGCAAATTAATCATAGAAAAATATTTAGAGGCCTTTTTGGTTTGAAAAAGGAAAAGTAATTTGTTTTGATATTAGTCATTTTGAACGACAAAAAGCGGCGGTAGAAATGAAAATATTGATTGATCGCTAAGCGACATGAAAAAGGGACACAGAAGCTTTGAATAAATTAGCATGACAATTTTTGTGCTGACAACATCCAAAAACAAAAGAGCTTACCTAAAAATGCAATAATTTTCCTTTGTGATCTTAAAAATGTCACGCCGAACTATCAATTTGGAGTAAGTTTGGGAAACAAACGCTAAAAATGCCGGAACTAACACCCATGACTTGTTTCAACTAGTACATTTTTATTTCTTACTTCTTACTCTCAAAAAGTTAGACGTTAAATTTGGATCGTTAAAATATACGATGACTAGGATGAGGAAAAGAGATAGCGTGGAAACTAAAGCTGGGTCCCCAAAAAGAAGCTCGATTTGCCTCAACTGCATGAGGGTGGGGGATGTCGGAGAAGAGAGCTTAGTATCGATTTTTGCGGAGAGCCTTTCCTCGCCGCCCGTCCCGGCCCGAGGGACGACTGGGGCTCATGACGTCTCTTTTACGAATCATCGATTGTCGAATGAAGATAAAATTCGAAAGTGGGAAAATTTTAGACCACATGGGAAATGGATTGAGGGTAGGAGAACCTTTTATAAATGCTACAATTAATACAAGAAACTATTTTTTTAGATGATAGCGGCAAATGGCTATAAAAAGTGGGTCGTATGAAAAAGGATTTTAGGAAATTATGCTCCACCTCTACTTCGCATTTTCGCTTTGATTCAAAGCTATATTTAATAGTTTTATCGAATATTTTAAGGCAACGGAAGATTAGCTTTTGCTAATGTTGTAGCATAAACCTATACTATTTTAACAAATTCAATCTTTACGAGCATGTTATTGATGCTCATTAATAATCATAGATCAAAGATCTTGGTCTAACTTGGATATTCAAGACCCATCGATAATGACAAAAACGATTAAACTTACTCATTCCCGTTCGTGGCATGTACCCTGTGTTGAAAGCCATTTTGCATCAGTGTCGTACACCGACCACGCTTCAACTAAATCAAAAATAAAATAATATTGTGCAACAGAATAGAAAGCGCAAAATGACAAAGAAAGTAGCATCATGGGATATCTTCGTGTTGTAGACAAAAAACTCTTCAATAGGCTCTCACGAAGATGATTAATTCAACATTCTAATTGGTACATACAGTCAGAATTAGACATTCAATTCTCCTGAACTTGCGAAGACTTTTGATAACTTTATAACAAGAACAAGACAGGCTTTTCAAAAATTTTGTTGAGGTTTTTTTTAAAAAGAGCCATGATCGTTCAAAATAAATGTTTGGAATTTGCCAGAAAGAGTCGTGTCCTTGAAATATAAAGTTTAACGAACCTTTAACAAAGAAAATCAATAGAAGCTTTAGTTACAAAATCTATTATGTTACTCCCCGAATTCTTGGCCCGCCGCCAAAAGGCAAAACAAAAAGGCGGAAATTCAAAAACTACAGACGTCTGACTATGAGGTACCAAATTTTAAAAGTCAAAGAAATTACTATTGGATTGGTTGCTGTTAAAATCATCAGCTCCGTTATTTCCCTGATTAGAAAGTTTCTTGTAGGAAAAGAAAATGTTTTAAGTAGGTATATGCCTTTTGCAACAACAAAATCGATATAGCATATAGCACTTGTAATAAAATTTATTTATTAAAAAATATGAATGTACAAAATCGAATAGAACATTATGTATTAAAAATTATGAACGTACAAAATAGGATAAAACATTATTCAATAAAAACTACAAACGTATAAAATTAAGTGGAATGTACGAAAAAGTTACAAATATTTACATACCATAGGAAAATGTGGTGTTGGGAAGACTTCCTGTTCCCATTGAAGCTACCGGATTTTGAGAGATCACTTGCTGCTCGTCAGCTACGTCGTACAAATTTCGCATCTGTGCCTGCTTCCTGCACCAAGCCAGGAAGTGAAGATCGCCGCAAAACTAAAAGAAAGTATTACTAATGTTTAGCTAAGAAGTTAACCGTAAACTATTTAAATTTAAGTAATAAGTTCGGCCGATGAATTGACATAACTTAAATAACTTATTAATCTACATAAGCACCTTTGTCAAAACAATTTACCTGGCATTGTTGAGAGCGTAACGGGCATTCACCACGATGCGGCATGATGCATATCTGAACAAAAGTTTTAGCACAAAGTCATGGATTTCACGCAGTTGACTAATAATATTCTATCTAGCTTTAAAAATAGTATTGCAGCTAAGTTAGCTTTAAAAAATTAATAGTATTACTATCGCCTAAACAAACCTTCTTATCCAAACATATTCCATTTAATTCGGCAAGTCGAATACGGCGAGACCATGGGAGTTGTACGATACAGTCAACGGTCTTATGATTAAGTCCGACATGGCAATGAAAGGCGCATGGACGAATAGCTGGGTCGTGTTCACGACAGAACTAAAGAAAGCATTACATGCAAATAAGAATAAAACCAACCCTAGGCTCTAATAGTAGTTGGCGGATTTCTCCTTGATCCTGAACCGCACTGCAAATTTTTTGCAAGTAGAACGGTGTGATTTTCTCGGCCTCGTTAAGAAAGTCAATACACCTAAAGTTAATGTTATGGTTAACTTGAAAAAAACCGCCACCAGGAAGCGTTGGACTGGAAATTTAAATAAAAGTCTCAACCAACCAATCGGGAACGAAAGATGGGAGCTGTGGCGGAAATATTTGAAAACGTCGGGCTCCCAACGGATCCACAGGTTGTGCAATAATCGGTGGCTTCAGGCGAGATTCAGGCGAGACGTATGATTGGTTTGGCCAATTTGCTGCTGGCGTAATTCGCTGCATCGGCGGCGGTCCACGCATATCGGGAGTCGGTGTCGGTGCAACAACCATCGGTGCCGAGAATCCACCATCATCAATTTGTTTCGTCAACGCCTTCAATCTTTGCAACAAACGCAGTTGTTCTTCGAGAAGCTCGGCTTGTTTCCTCAATTCTTCGTTACTTTCGACGGTCGGAGCTTGTAGTTGAGGTTGTGCATTCAAATTCACAGGTGGTACATAAGTAGTAACTGGCATCTTCGGAAGCGCCGGTGGTGGTTGTGAGATGTTCGAAGGAGGAAAAGTCATAATCGTAGCCGTGGATGGTTGAATGTTGTTCGGAGACGATTGCACATTGAAGGAATTTATCGGAATGATTGGTTGGTTGAATGATGCAGCCGAAGTAGTGATCGGATTCGAATATACTGCAGTCGTAGTGGTCACAACAGCGGTCGTAGTCGGCATCTTTACTCTCGATTCCTCGGGTAGTTCCGATCGTGACTTCTGAGCGGCCTTTATGGAAATCTAAACCAAAATTTTAATGATCGGACTTCAGATTAATGGCTTTTCTTTTCTGCAAGTTATGAAGGAAATTAAAATTCATATACCCGGTATGCTCACCTCACTCCTGTTTTTAGCATATTTATCATTGGAGTGACTGGCAAGAGGAGAAATACGCTCTCTAAATCAGAAAATTGTTCAAATCCTGCATTTAAAAATGAAGACAAGCAGTCTACAAATGAATTTGGTATGGAAAAGGGGATGGATGCTTATTTTTTAAATATTTGAGAAAACAAATGGATAGAGAAGCTAAAATTACTAATAGTTTTACTGCTCAAAATAGAGGACACCTTAATCGCAAAATGTGCAACAGCTTTTAAAATGACAATATTGTATTTGCGAAGAGTTTAAATAGTTTATGCTTGAAAATGTAATTAGCAGAACTTGTAAGAAAACTTTTAGCTTCTGTGGTGTAGAAGTTCCCGAACCTTTCATATTTGTAATCGAATCTAAAAACCTAAAACATAAAAGTTATCTGTTTCTTATTTGTTTCTGTTCTACTATTCTATTCGTATTAAAAAAGATTTTACTAGTTAATTCATTCGCTGCGCATCTTAAGGGTTGAGAGATATCTAAAAATTATTTTACAGAACAGCAAGTATAAAAGCAAAACAATGTAACAAACATAAAAGTAAAATGCAATCAAAAGAAGCACAAAAAAATTTAAAGACCATGTCTTCTCATAGTAAAAAGGTTTAGGGTGGTAATAAATAAAAAGATGTCTATCGACAATCAAAAAAGTTGTAGCCTGCTTGCCTCTTAAATTTATTTTCTAGTACTAAATGGTTATTAAAGCCTTCAAAAACCAACTTCGACTGTTTTCCATGATCGCTTGCTTTATTGTCATTTGTTTTCACGCTACGCTTCCGTTCATCCCATGGACTGCCCGATCGTGGACTCTTTCGACTCGTCTTTTTCTCTACCATCTCTCGTTCAAGCTTCTTGCTACTCTTCTCTTTCTCCACATCTTTGTTCAACGAGCTCAATAGGGCCCATGCATCTTCCGTTTTTAACAATCCTGGAATCAAACAGTTATACTAAAGGGTTTTTATATTCGGTTGTTCTAAAATAAGTTCTCTTAAATGCGATTGCATGACAGTCCTTTGACACCATCGGGAATACCCAGTCTAAATGAAGAGTTTATGATTAAAGGTTTGGTCCAATGCCATAAACGTTGTCCAATCGAATGCCAATAAATTCCATAAACGTTGCTCTAGTTCAGCCTAACATTTCATGATTTTGAGTTTGCTGTCATTTCTTCGTTAATGATTTGATGAGTCAAGGTATCTAAAGATTGCAATAGCAGCGTTGGTCTTCCAAAATGTTGTCGAAGCTTTGCTCTTTAAGAAGGCTAAATACGAGGTTTGTTTTCTTTGGTTGAAAATCAGGACACTTCGCTTAATTTATAGTTAGTGTGGTTGCTACAATAGTTGAGGTGAATCGACAGCTGAAGCCTTAATCGTGAAGATCGCGAAGATTTAAGTTTTGTCTTCAAGAGTGCCGTCGGCTTTGCTGCCATCAAGAAGTTCCATAAACAGAGCAAGACCTTCATTGTAAAGCACGACCGACGTTGAGGTTCAGCCGAAGTGATAATGAAAGGCAGGAGTTCAGCTTCTTCTCTCGCTGTTGATTATTGAAACTGTTTGTTTTATACTTGGCTTACCTTTTTAAATTCAATCATTCTTTTACCGTCGAGTTAGCTTATGAGTTGAGTTGACTTGTTTTGCATTTAATCTAAAACAAACCAAACCAAACCCCTTGATTCCTTTTTGGTGAGTAGATCGTTGCGTTTGATATCCATAGTGAAGTTACAAACCTTTGTCCAATAATTCGAGCTGTCGTTGAATTTCTTGATTCTTTCTCTCTAGTTCAGCTTCTTCTCTCGCAAGACGCTTGATCGTCTCTTCCGGATCCTGATAAGAAAAAAAAACCTTACAACGGTGGGCAAAACAATAATACATCTTTGTCGCTGCTCTCTTCTTCGTCATCAGAGACCAAATCGACAAACAGTGCCTCCTTCTCAATATCCATTGGAACTTGTGTCTCGCTAGATAAATTGAAATAAATAAATTATTGATCAACAATAATTGCGTACCTCTTTGGAGCTTCTGGTGATTTGCCACGCGCTTTGACTCTACCTGGGCTCCTCGATCGTTCCCTTAAATAAAAAATATCCAATATTCGAGTCCGTGGCTTACTCTTTCTTGTTGTTTTTATAGCTTTTAGATTTCTTTGCCTCCTTTGCTTCTTGCTTCGCACGCTGTTCTTGTTTTTCTTTGATCTTCTTTTCTTTGGTCCTTTCGTCACGAGCCTCTCGAGAATCAGAAGCCACGACTTTGAATGACCCATCAGCGATCTAAGCAATCAATATGTGTCTGTTAAACAATACATTTGGATCTACTTGATATAAAAAGGACAAACTTTTTCTTATCAAGCTTATTAATTTTTATCTAGCTTAAAAAAACCTGAGGAATCTGTGAAGCTGCATCAGGCGCTATAAGTGTCGTCATTGTCCAGTGTTTTGCTCCAAATTCTTTCATAGTTTGAACAAATTTTGTGACAGCGTAGATCTACAACACATTCTCTTTACAAATTTGGCTCTATCAACTACTTGGTCGACTCTGGTTGGTGGCATGAAAAGTTGCCCATTTTGTTCGTAGTTTGCAATTTCCATTAAAATTGGCGCGTAGTCCGCTAAAATTGAATAGATTTTGGGAAAAGCGAATAACACTCACGGCTCTTGAGAACGGCTTTTGCAAAATTCATACACGGGCCCAAAACTTTGCAAATGGGTGCACACCATTCCTAAAAGATCAATGCAAAGGGGCCGCTTAAATAACAAACATCATACGTTGAGACCAAATCGACCAGCTGATTGGGAACCATTCCCAAGTCAACGAGGCGAGCAATCAGTGAAGCCAAAGCAATATCTTCAGCTTGGCTAAATCATCAGAGTTCGCAATACTTCTTGAAACAAGCCTGGCATCTCTGGCATTTCCTATGGCTCCACACATCATGAAAGGGATATCGGTGAACTTGGCGTTTACTTTCGTGCTTATGGGATCTTCCGGAACTAAAACAGATTCGTGTATTAAACATTTAATAAACCCACAGGCACCGATGACTAGTTTACAGTCCGCCGTTTCCGCAACTTTTGTCACAAAATTTTTGACACGGCGCGAATAGACCTCCCTCAAGTCTCGCCCAAACAAAGATGGCTGAAAAGATTTAAAATCATGCACAAAAGTAATACTTTATTTAAACCAGCCAGAAAAACCCGCCTAAACGCGGGTTTTTCTGGCTCCGTGCAGACGGATTTTATTTTCTTCACCCCTAGAGGAATCGAACCCGTGATCTTTCTTACTCAAAAAGTGTAAAAATAAAGAAAGCAAAAAAAAGATTGCACTGGACCGGGATCGAACCTGAGACCAACCGAGCCCAACGTTGCTCAACTTGGCAGATCGGACGCCGAGATGCACTACCACTCGGCCACGCCGTAGTATGTATTCTTTAATTTCGATTTTTAGGAAAAACTGTCAAATTATGTGTCAAATATTATTCGATTTTTGGAAACTACGTAAAAAGTCAGGTTTTTAATGTCAAACTTTCAGATGGATTGGTTTATCCGTTTTTTCTAAAGCAGCCGAACAGACAGACACACGCTTATAATAAGTAGGATACCTGAGAACTGTCCCTAATGCTTGGTTCCGACTTCTTATCGGACCTTCGGGGACTTCTAAAAAAATGCACAGATAAACGGACTATCATTTTATCAAATCACCGGCTTTTTTCACGTTTGCGCTCACGATCTCGAGAACGCTTGCGTTCTCGGCTTCTGGAGTGACTGCGCTTTCGATCTTTTGTTCGCGTCGTTTCCTAATAAAATATCAATAAAAAAAAAAGAATTTTTAAGCCTACTGGACGAGATCTAGAACCTTTCTCGGTGATTTTTCTTTGCTTCTCGTTTTCCTCGGTAAACCAGCTCACGGCTAGCGTTTTTAGACGTGGATGACGCTTCAAAGCATTATTTAAATCCTAAAGTAAACAATTTAGAGTCCCATTGACGCAAATAACCTCGAGATTTGGCTTGCGAACGTGGATACTGAGACGAACTTGCAATGGCAAGGGTTTGTAGAGCGAAGTGTATGCAGGTAGACGGACTCGTCCCAAAACATCAAAATCTTCGTCTTTGACTCCTGAAATTACTAACTATCTGGATTTTATCTTCGTATCCCTTACCAACTAAAGCAAGCACTTCTGAAACGGTGGCAATTTCCACTTGTCTAGTGACCTTTGGATCCTTCTCTCTTTCGGGCAAATTTTGAATGAGTAAGTTGAGCCCAGGTTTCTAAAGGCTTCTATAATAAACGACAATGCTACTCCTGTACCTCTTGCACAATAACTTGGAAATCGCTTGGTTTGTCAATTGGCACAAACAATGTGTCGTCTTTCTGCTGCACAAATGATTCAAGGCTGGCATTAGTGGTTCTGCTTGTTTGCTAAAAGGATTAATCAACCAGCCTTTTGCATTGAACTTACAAGTAACAACGATGGCATTGGTGTATCCATCGATTTGGATTTATCCTAAATTATCTTTGCTAAAAACAATCAAACAGAAACAAACAGCGCCGCCATTGAAGAAGTCGATAAATTCATTAATTGCCAATGGAATGGGGCACCTGCTCTAAAAATCAATATAACATGAACAATTTGCTTATGCAGACATCAAGTCCATCCAGATACGACGTCAAAGCTTCTGGGACACCAAGCAATAGCGGATGTGGTGAACCGTCTGGTGGAAAATCGATTCGTTTCTGAAACAAGAAATGTGATTTTTTTCAAACTGAAACTTCAAATCTCAATACCATTTTTAACAAACCTGTAGTGCTTTGCGCTGCTTTTGCGGATCACTATCCTCGACGAGATAGTCCTCGAGGAATTGAATGACACCACTTCTAACACCCGAACAGTCCTAGTAAAAGTTGACTTCAAAAAGCAAACAACAAAATTACGTAAATCTCTTTAAACTTTTCATTGGGCAGTCGAACATTTGGAACACCGGCTCCCTAAAATCAATCTGTAAAGTTTAAAATTAAAACCCAACCCATAGTCGCACTATCTGCACGTAAGATGGACATCGCATACACAGCTTGTTGGTCCAATAATGTGCTGACCACTTTTGCAAGTATTTCTAAAGAAAAATGTTAATAATGAAATCGTTTTTCGTTTTACCGTTAACGACTCCACTTTCACTAGAAGCGCAGTCTCGTTCATGGGTCTTGTGGGCATGTCAAACATGAGATCTTTATACAGCGCTGAAGAGTCATTGATTCTTGATTCGTCATTGATTCTTACTTTCGTTTATTTTGATCATAAGATGTTGAAACCAAGGCAATGTCAACAATACAACCGGTTTCAAAAGCTCGAATCGGGCACAAAGTCTAAAAAAGTCGTTTTGCAAAAGTCTAAACAAAAGAAAACAGTACCTAGCTATCCCACTGGGTACAGCCCCAACATCTGAGAGTCTGTTGTATAAAGCACCGATAGCTTCTCTAACATTCTCTTCTTCGCTCAGGGTACTAAAATACAAGTTTTAAAGTTCAAAAAGTTCTTTTACGGATTGATCTGCTGATATCCACAAATGTATCGATAGCTGATTCCCATAAACCAAACAGTAACCACAGCTATAATAGACAACGTTTTAACCTTTTGTAAAAAAATACGTGTAGGTCCAGTCGTAGTTAACGTGACCGTTTGCTTGTAGACAAGATTCAATCCGATCTTCTTCGAAATCTCGCAGCATAAGATGATCGGCCAGTTTCGATTGTAGTCGCCGAGCGTTATTTCCTAAATGAAAGCTTATTGAACGATGGTTGTGCCGCAAGTCTACTGATTTTAACCTATGAATACTGAAAAGATTCAAATGTAAACCAATAAATTGGCAAGATAACAACAAAACCTACTCCTCTCGTGTAGAATCGTCGAACCGCCGGTAGCACCTCGATAACATCTTTTGGTGGATCATGATCGAATGATGATACATCTCTTGGCAACATCAACACCTAAACAAAAAATCATAATTTTCTTGAAGTTTAAACAAAAGAAAAACAAGGTTCAAACGTTTTCAACACAACAACGTGGGAAAAAGAGGAATTGCTAGAGTATGGTTTTTACTTGAACTTTTATGTGGGTGCTTCGTTTAAAGATATTCCGCTGATACACTTAATACTTTCTTTTTCATCTTTTATTCTTTTAATGGGTTAGCTTCCATACCAAGAACGCGATAGCGTGTGCTGCGTTTGATGGTGATGGTAGAGCTGCCCGATACCTAGAACCCGGCTCTTATGCCCACAGAAAAACGGCAGCTCTCTATCCGTCTCTATGCCCGTACTGTGCATTTACACGTACTAAACATTTGAACACCTTACCTATTTTTATTTTGAAAAGTGCATTAAGGTTGTTAACTCCTTAACTGGTCCGTTTTTGTTGTCTTTTTCACGTTTTCCACGGTCTTTTGCGATGCAGTAATCTTTATTTCAGTGAAACTGGGAGCTTTATGCTCGCTTTATCAAGAGATGGAATTCGAAACGCTCGCCGGATCTTGACAAATCGACAATCACTCCATGGCGTGCTACCCTCGACTAGTCAAAGGTAAAAAAAATTTCGTTTACTAGCAAGATTTTATCTAGCAAACATCGTTATTGACAGCTTTTAGCGTAACCTCCCGTCGATTCTATCCCATCATCAAACGGACCGCAGCCGTGCCGATTTTATCAGACCAAGACGCCAAATTGATCAACATTGGGCACTTTGTTGGCATCAAAGGGACCGTTAAACGTCCAGAAAAAGTAAGTTACAGTTTAGTAGGCTTTGCCCTAAAGAGACTTTGCTCAATCTCTGTTTTAGGTGAGTTCTCCGGAGGTGGAACTTTCGACGATCGAACAACATCTGCGACAAAATTTCCGTGTTTCGGGCGAAGCCGTCTTCTGCAATATTTTGAAACCGTTAGAGGACGGGAATGGTAAGTATTGTGGGTACCTAGTTAAATTAAATAGAAAGATAAATAGTTCTGTAGAGCATAAAATTTAGAGCAACTTCTTTTTACACTACGCAACAATCACGAAAGATGGCTGCCGACGTTGTTTTTAGCTTGCGGGAGGGCCATGTCAAATGTGCACAAGGATAACCGACAAATCATTTTGAATAGGATTATTGGCCAGCTACAGATAAACGGTAAGATGATCATTTCATATTTATTGCTAAACGGTGTTCAGAGATCTCGTGGTCGGTGTTAGCTTTCAATGTATATCTTCGTGTTTTGATGGAAAATGACGTCGAATTTGACGTTAATAAGCAATTACATGTAAGTTACAGTAAGACTTAAATGTATAGTCTAAAATCGTGATTCGATTCATGTTTTAGGATGCCGAAGTCACAAAGGGTTTGTCGTTGGATCAAGAAAGCTTCCGCTTGTTTCTTGAACAACTTGCGCTGCAAGGAAAAGTAGATGCATCAAGGAACTTGGTATTTTTATATAAGCTTATTGCTGTTTGAGTTGGATTAAATTAAAATGAATTTTTCAGACTTATGAAATGGCGAAAAGAGGTCTCATTTTGGATGCTCAGTGTAATTCTGCGATCATCTACGGTTTTGCTGTACATGGCTACGAGAAGAAAGCCGATTCTTTATATCAAGTCATTTTTCACAAAAATCAAATAACTGCTGTGCTTTAGCAAACAAAAGACCGACATGGTTCCGAGGGGCAAATACTGGCGCTTGAAGCTCTTGCTAAAGCAGCTGCCGCAAGAAACGATCTCGATCAATTGAGAAAGGCTAGTATTTATTATTTTTGTAAAAATTAGTGTCTTGTTGCTACAATCCTTTAATTTTTAGATTCTGCGGATTGCCGTTGACGACGAAAAGAAACTTACCCTTAGCAATGGAAGCGTTTTTGACATTTTATGGCTACTAACAGAAAAAAGTCGCACAAAAGACGGTTTAGAAACGATGCCTTTAATCGAACAGGTAATTTGAATTGTTTTTCTTTCTAAACACCCGTTCAGATTTTGAGCAGAGTGAGCCATCAATGGGGTTTTTTCAAGCTGTTGATTCGAGAGGTTTTCCTTTGATTTGTGGTAATTAATTTAAGTGTTCCCAGATTGAACGTCACTTGGCACATGGGCATTACTACATAGCGCTCACACTCTTGGAGGATTCTACGAAAGTCAAAGACTTCATTCATAAACAGCAAAAATTGGGTACCATAATTTTTAAAATTTTTGATGTAAATTCAATTTTAGTGCTTGTCGACCAGATCCAAACAAGACTCTGCCGACAACTTATCAAAAACCATGTAAGTTTTGATAAAGAATCTTTTGGACCTTTTATGGTTTTTGAAATTTTTAGTCTCCCATCCCCAAAGTGAAAGAAGTGGCGAATCGTGCGATGGTTGTCTTGAAATCTTACCCGAGCATTTCGTAAGTTCTTATTCAATGCTGTTTTCCTCTATATATTACTTTAGAAAGTTTATCTACGATGAGCTTCTGAAGAATGTTTTAACGTTCAAGGAATTCTCATTGGAAACAAGGTTTGGCCTGGTTTGTCCAACAAAATTTAAACGAAACTTTTAGGTTCGAATACTTTTCCAGTTTGATCGACTTTGTGGATTTGGAAAGGACACGTCCGCATCTGATTTTACCTCTTCTTGCTAGGTTTGTGCCGTTTCAGATAAGCGGACACATTCTTTCATTTAGTTGTGATGATCTGTCAGCTCGACTAACACTCCTGTTTCGGTGTGAGCGACTCGGATATAAGGATTTCTCGAAACTTGACACAAAATGTTTAGTCAAGTTACTACTTCAACCACTTTATGGTTAGTCAAAATCACTCATTTATTTCGATTGATCACCACCTAGATAAGCAAAATCGAAAAACCACGGATCGGGGTATTGTGTACACGAAAATTGGATGGATGAGCCGAATTATGAAGAGCCATGGGTTTTCCGATTCAGCTCTATGGTATTCTTTTCATGAGTGGTGGAAGTTTAAGAAGGTATTGTATAAACGCAACTTTTATTATGATTATTTCAGAGTATCGAAAGTAAGAGCAATCGAGACTACATTGAAGACGAAAAAGGACCGCGTGTTGAAGAACTTTCTCGGTAAGTTAGTTGCTACAGTTGGTTTTGAAAAGAATTGACAACACGAATGTTTATTCAACTATCGGTTTCAAAATCCTTTTGTCCGTTGAGCGAGTTATCTTGCGGAGGCCTGATGACAATCGAAGACGCTGGACTGAAGGCATCACGACTGCTCTAAAGAAAAACAATTTTATTCAACAACTGAGTCAGAGTTTACCTCCAATTCGAGTTTGAGCGCCTTTTTCTCGGCAGACGTGTCGACATTAGTCGGCTGCAAGTGTTTCTTGTTGCACTTAGCGAGAATAGCCCTAAAGTTGAAGTAAATGAATCTTAAACTAAGAATGTACCTCGCGTTCTCACACTCATCACATTGACATTTTGGCGACTCTTTGGCGGATGGGCGTACCTTGGATTTCCTTTGACCACCGCTCCAAGGACCATAGTTGAATTGCGAGGATCGGGCACTAGTCGTAGAAGCTGAGCTGATGTCATACTAAAAGCTTTAATGTTCTAAAAATAATATACGAAAGAGTACCTCCGAAATGGACGAGTTTTGCTTTGTAATACGGCCACCCGAAAAATCACTAAAGCAAGCAGTTACGTGATATATTGGACGAAATTAGTTACCTGTTATTTCCATGCATACAAGGAGAACATTGGCATTCAATTGTTCGGGTGGGTTGATAGTCGCTCGGCGGTAGTGGCATTGAGTAGGCGGTGGACGGTGAACGACTTGGGCAGGATTCAGTTACATAGGTGGCGCGGCCGGACGTCGAAGAGATAGTGCTTCCACGGCTCGACGAATGACCCCACGATGTGGAGAGGGGGCTCGTAATTGGAGCCGTTGTACTTGAGTCCTGTTTGATGGCCAAGAAGGAGAACTTTGAGATGCTTGTAGTGGAGGTTGCACTAAAAAAAGAAAAATGGAGATGAACAAATAAGATTTTACCTTGAAACATTGGAAGGGCTGATCAGACAAGATGAAGCCTTTCGGAGCAACGTGAAGCCATGGAAGCGATTCTTTGTCTCTTTGTGCTCGAGATCGATTGGTTTTGCACCTAAAAATTTGCCATTAAAAAGGGTATAAGGCTCCATTCGGTATAGAAGTCTAAAATTTAAAAATCAAAAGTACCTTGATTAGGTTCCGTGTCCCATAGTCTTAGCGGAAAAACACCATCCAAGAAATCGTCCTCAGGCGTTTGTGTTTTTGCAATTGCAGCAGTCAGTTTTGGAGGGGTAGTCTACAAAACGAACAAGTCAACAAACATTACGGCAAGTAGGCTCAACAAAATGCCAGTAAAAGCAAGACAAGCCAAAAATAAAAAGAACATAAGTGATAAAAGCTCACCATTTGAAGAAGCAGTTGGAAGAAACCAGTAGGGTAGGAAGCAGTAGTAATAAATAATAACCCCACTGGACATTTTACTTTTATTGCACGGATAAATTCAAATTCCAGAGTTTTAGATGTAGATTTGAGATAATTTTGCAAAATATATGCAAATTTTCTTTTTAGATGGCTACAAGAGAATCACGAGCGAATCTTCTGCGCCTCGGAAAAACCGAAACCGAAAGGAATTGAGCCAACGTATCGAATACTGAAGAACCTTGTGGATTCAAGGGTAAGTGCGTTCGAGAGTTACTGAAATATAAATTTTAGGATGCTGCCAATATTCACTCATTTATCACGTTTTATGGATGGCCTCTTGATACCGAGTTTGAGGATATTGTACCGCAGGTTAGCGTTTTGTTCTATCCAATTTTTATTTTGACGCAACTTTAGATCATTGATCTTTACTTTGAACACTTGGACTGGCCACGTATTCAAATGATGCTCAAAAGCTTGTAATTTTAGTTGCCAACAATTTGTAAAGTTTTTCTTCTTTAGATCAGGGCAACAAGATAAATGGAAGCGAGAGGATGGGAAAATTGTCTCACCTATCAAGAACTTTCATCTGATTAGGGTAATTTGCTATCTGTGTTGTTTTTCAAAATCAATTTTTCAGCTTTTGCGGGAGCGCTTGTTCAGCATCAACGACAAGAATTATCGCGCCAGAAAAGAAATCAAATCGGAGAAGAACGACGGGGAATGGGATGCAAAACCAACGCAAATCGATGCCATTCGTCACTTGGTTGCCTATGCTTACGAATTGCGACAACTGTTTCCTTATGGTTTGTTAAAATGATATTTTCTTATTCCTTTAAAATTATATTTACATCTTTCAGCGAGTACACAATACGAAACTTTTTATGAGACGTTGTACGAATATAACCAACTTTTTTCAAAATGCATCAAGGTAATTAAGAGCTTCTTTTTTCGACCTAAAATTTTCCTAGTTACGCGAATTGACTGTGGAAAGCGTAAACGATTGTTTGGAGCTGTTAAGGACATTGATCAAACTCGAATTCATCGCACTTCACCCAAACGAAACGGTCTCTGCAACGATTATCGAAAATGTTCTCAATCGGTAAAAAAATTTAGTGATTTCTAGTAAAATTAATAATTTTAGTTTTGGATGGATGCCGGCTGTGAATACATGGATGGCTCTACAGTCCGGATTTTATGCTTCTAATGGGATCGTGCCCTTACTTACGTGAGTTTTTTTTGCGTTGCACGGAAATTGGATATTTTAGCTATGTCACTCGCGGAATTGATCAAAATCCGCAAAAGGCCACCGATCTTCAATATGGTTGGTAAACAGTAATATTAATATTAATTTTAATTTAAAGCTTAAAATTTTCAAAATAAAACTTTAATCTTTTGATTTTAGTTCTCCACAAGGCGCAAAACTTTCTCCCGGCCAGTCGAGTTCACACCATCTATGCGGCAATCTTGGTCTCTCTACGAAAGTACACCGAGGCGATCGACTACACAAACAAGCACAAAGTTGGCTTCTTGAAAAGCTGTTCAACATTTCTTTCAGACTGACATGGATTCGCCACACATTGTCCTCGCTTTCCGCTTGATAAACAATTTGAGAGCAACCAAGAAAGTTTGGATTTAAAACATTATAGTTACAATCTACGTTTAGTTAAATAATGAGTTCGTTTATAAGTTTTCCGAAATCATGCTTGAACATTCTCGTCTGAAAGAAGACCCGGAGCAATGCCTCGAATTACAAAAAGATTTCCTTAAGCTTTGTGGTGAGTGGTTTTGTTTTGTTTTGTCTAAAGTTAAAATGTTCAGAAACAAAGAAACTTGGGCGTTTTGCTCTGCAACTTTTTGAGCTCTTCGATAAGATGGGAATTCAAATTGACTCCGAGCACCAGGATAAAATCATGAAAGTCGCAAATCGACAGGCTGAATTAGAGAAGTGAGTTAAAAGTAACATTGCAAATAGAACTTTACCAAAGGGACTCCTATGTTTCTATGTTTAGATATAGTTGAGTTTATTTTTGTACTTAAATCTTCCTTTTCAGGATATGGCTCTTCAAGCCGAACGGTTTATTGTCGCTGTCAGAAGAGGACGAAATCGTAAAAAGCTCGGATTTCTGGAAGCGATTCGACAAGTATTCCAACAGAGAAACATCTCCTCCTTCAACATAATTTTTAGCGTTTGCTAGGGTTAGTTTTGCAAGTTTTTAGTTTTAGTAAAGTATGCTACCTTGTTTGTTACCTTATTCATTGTTACCTTGTTTGTTGTTCTTTTAGATTATTTTATTTTGCTCATTGTTATTACGGGTAAATTTTTCTCTTTAGCTTTTATAGAATTAGTGTGGTTGTAAGATAAACATTTATGTAACTTTCAAAAATGTACAAATACTCGAGATCTCGTTCTGAGGAGGGATTAGCTTTTCACCAGTTTCACTGTTCGACCATGGTAGCTGGAATTGGGATATGATGAATCTATTTATTAGCTCCTGATTTGAAAACCCTGTACTATAAAATTTGATTACCCGGAGGGTTCAACGGGAATTTGGTCATCTCTTGGCGGCATCGAGATCGAATTGTCGTAAAGCGGCGACATCTAGAAGAGTTCGGATATTTTTGTGGCTAGATTCAAAAGCTAACTATGACCTTAAGTTAAGAATTGCTATTTCCTATTTCCTACAGTAATAGCTCTACTAGGCACTTTATATATTACAGTATTCCATTTATAAGAGTACTGTAATCCTGAGACTCACCCCCGGAGCTGCTGGCGGAGAAGCCTCAACCGCACCTTGACCATAGCTCATTTGGGGGATTTCTCTGAATATTCAAATTCTTATTCTATAACCTTTTCCGACTTACACAGATGGTTGCGGGTCAGCGTAGGAAGGCATTCTAAATGATATTCTAATTGGAAAGTAATAGAACGAAAATACAACTACCGTAAATACTGTAATAGTACCCCACCCCCATAATGACGGTGCGGAGTGTTGTGTAGTCTAGCTTTGAACGAGCTTTTCTCGACACTGGTTTATGCAATAATGCTCGTTTTAGTATCAAAAAATAGCCCTGAATTTCAGCTATTTTTTGATACCAAAGACGCATTTTTTGAAAGGACGGGCGCTTTGAAAAAAATGAAATACTAAAAAAAATACTTTTGCGACTACGCGACTTTACGAGGGCGGTGGGGTACTAGTAGAGTATTTACGGTAATTTTTTTGATGGCTTTTACAAATTCCTTATAAAATTTGTCTTACTACATCGCAAATTAGTCCCTTAAACTTTGTTGAAACATAAGAAAGTAATCGAACTAGCCTACGCGAACCGGTAAAGCAGCAAAAAAAAACGCATTTAATAAAATTTCATTTAATAAAACGATTTTAATTAGTAAAATTTAGTGAAAAAATATTTGATTTTTAAAAAAGTATCTTTAAAATTAAAGAAAGAAAGAAATTAAAGAAAGAAAGAAATAAAGAAAGACAATCAAGTCATAAGACTTTCGTTAGAATGGATTGATACACGAATGGTGCTTTGTATGGATTTGTATGATTTTTTTGTGTGTTAGAAGGATCTTCAGATGCGGCGGAGGTCTTTTTTGAAAATATGATTTTTGAATATGTCAAAAAAGACGTCCGCCGCATCTGAAGATCCTTCTA